AGCAGCAACAGCAGCAACCTCAACAACAAAAACACCAACGACAACATCAAAATTAAAATTGCTTTGCCGTTTGCATGCATTCCACCAAATACTGAAATTAATAGACACTGTCGTCATTTCAGTTTGCTCTCTTGCTCGTCAGATTTACCCAGCACTTTTTCCATCCAATATTAGTTTGTTTCGACGGATTCAGCCAGATTTTCAAATACGATATGACAATTTATTTTCATTTCATTCATTCATTCATTCACAGAACAGCATGGTACATTCATGTGATGGATTTAACACTTAAAATCAAAATACCATGGTAGCTGACATGTCGACTGGAAAATAGTTGACTAACAAATTTCATGTTTTTTTTTTCTTTCTGCAGTTGAATCGTTAAGAGCTAAAGAAAATTGTTTGAATTCGGATTTTTCAACGATAAAAAGTATTTAAAAATTTATGGGTTGACTTTGATGTGTGAGCCCATTCAAATCGGATATACTCGCATTTAATTGAATTTATTACGACATTCACTACAATTTACCAAGCTTAAAATCTCGACCATTACTTTTATTCTTAACGATTCATTTGGATAATGCAGCAATTGACGCAGAGCAGAAAAAAAAAGCAACAAATTTTTATTTCCAACCATTTCAAATAACTTTGAGTAAGAAATCAGTGCTTTTTTGAATGAAGTCATTGTATGCCATGGCACATATGCGGGTGCTTAAATATGGAAAACACATGAAATGAGCAGATAAAGAATAAAGTAAACATTATTTCGAAATGTAAAAATAGGATGCAAACATACAAAAATGACCATTGATTATAAAAACGCGTAGTTTTGGCATGAGTCAAGTTTTTCATGTGAGTTTTTAACTCTGGGCAATTGGTATTTTTATCGGTGTTTGTGTATTCGTGAGTAGGCTATCATTTACGATAGCAATACTATCATCAAAGGAAGAATGATCAACAGATACGCAGAACTCAATATATTCCGATTTATGTTTTCTATACGCACTAAGTTTTCTGACCCGTTAGATTGAAACTTTTCAAATTTGATGATATTTCAAATATGAATATTTAATCAAATGAGGCGATTGAGTAATGAGTTCATGTTCTAAATGTACAAGTGTCATCATAACGCTTTTGGATAGTGCGTAATTCTTGTATATGACACAATGCCTACGTAGGAGAAAAAAACGGGATGCACATTTTTTTTTCGAATTGGCTTGTGTGCGTTCATTGAATCGCTAATTTCGAATGTATTTTCCATGGCATCTCTGATTGAAATTCATTGCATACTTGTGCCTTCTTCTACTTGTTCCGATTTACCGTTCGATTTTCAGTTAATTTACCTAGCTTTGTTTTTGTGTGTGTGTGTGTAAATTCATTCATGTCACTGAGCTCATCATATAGGCAGCTCGTTACTGAATCCAGAGAGGAAAGAAAGACAAGGAAAGGGACAGGGAGAGAAAGAAAGAAAGGAAGGAAGAGAGAAAGAGGGAGAGAGAAAGAGTGGAAAAAATTGATGAAAAAAACTCTATGAACAAGTATGCTCTCTAAAAAATGCTGTTGCCTATTGAACGTGCGCCACTCTTATGAATTTAAATGGCAGAATTTTAAATAGGTTTATTCGATAAATGTTCGTCAACAATGAGAATAACGTTGCAATTATTGTTTGTTATTCCCAAAGTGTTGTATTGACTATGTTAGTCATATTACGGTTAGTTCACATCAACCAGTCAGTTTGATCGTCACCACATCATTCGGTTGTTCTTTGTATCCACCAGCAGAAAAATAACAAAAAAGGGGAGAGAAAGGGAATGAATGCGATTTTCAATTGAGCCAAGTGCGAATATTTGAATTTAGAGTACTGGGTCAATTCCACTTAGTATTCTTGTCGATCAATTAATTTAAGCGCTGTCAGAAGTAAATTTCAATGTCTAATTAATGCAAAAAATGAATCACTAAGAATTCTATTCTTCATTGCATTATTTTGCTGCACACTCTTCATTCGCATCAAAATATGACAGAATTGTTTGTATCGCCACACAGGCTATTTTTCGTTCTTTTTTTTCGTCTTTCTTTCAGATATAACTTCTCCCGATACTTCTGAACAATTCATTGTTTTTCGATATTTTGATTGTTGCTAACTAGTTCAGACACGTGACAATATGCTTAGAAGATATTTGCAGAGCTGCTTTTGTGTGATATGAATCGTATTTCCTTCGTAAACAATACAACAAAAGCGTTAAGCAAGTTTCAACAACGTATGCGATCATAGATCTTCTAGCCTAGGCAACGTTTGCAAACAGTCAATGTGATGTTTCAGTTTCGCATTGCAAATTTTTTCCCTCTGAATAATTGAGTATCAATTTATTAATTCAATGCCAAACTGAGCGTTGAGAGAAGCCGAAAGAGTGAAAAAGAAAAAAACACACATACCGTCCATGTCTACTTAAAGCAACTGAAGTGTGTGTAAATTGATCACGTCGCATTTAATATTTATCTGTTGAAAAGTGACCGGAGCACACGTCGATCTTTCATTATATACACGTTTCTCTCGTGTATTTTGTGAATAGAGAAATGAAACGTTTGCAATGGGTAATGTTCACTGGATAAAACGCTTGAAAATAGAACAACAACAGCAACACACAAAAAACGCGCCAGTGTCGATAAGATTTCACGAATAGAAATTGCTCAGCCGTAAGGGAAAAAAAATTGTAAGCATAATGTTATTTAACCAGAGATATGATTGGTTGGGTTGAATCACTACTTTATTTTTTTTTTCTTACATTTTTCGTTGTTTGCGTGTATTGGAGTAGCGTATTTAAATGCTACAATTTTCAAATATGATGCACTTTATTATGCATTCGTTTCATGTCTCAATTAAATAGACTAGCATTGTGCTTTAATCAAATTCAATACATGCAACATCAACACCTCGACGTTCCCATAGGTATTAAATGGATATAGTAGCATTTTACTTTGTTCAATTCTCGGAGTCTGACCTAAAACCGTTCATAGTTCGGTCGTTTCATTGTTGTATTTGTTTTGTCACGACAAACCTATCCGCATCGTCATATCAACACACACCGATAGCGTGTGCATAGGTGAGGGGGAACTTCCAGGAACACAAAAATATCTCTATGACTCTATGAAGAATGTTCAGCCGAAAAACGATGAAGAAAACCCGTAGCGTGAATCACACTCACACACAATACACACACACACACACACACAAAATTGAAAACGAAAGTGAATGCGCATCATTTTGCGACAATCAAAAAGAGTAGCATGCGAACGCCGTACACACACACTCTCTCTCTCTCTCTCGCCCATTTTTCTATGTGTGGTATATGCGTGCAGCAAGACCCGAATGAAAAATCCAACCGACAACGGCGACCACACAATCAAGTTATGTCAAATATGAATTTTAACTGATAATATCAGTGAAACACTTTATAATTAGAATAACACTCTAGCCATGTAATCTACTGCCGCTGTAGAGAAATATGAATGAAGAAACGAAACGAAACTGTTCTTGTTGATTTCTGTTTTTGGGTTTGGCAGTCAGTGCGACAAATACTATAGAAGAATACTCGAGAATACTACAATGTAAATGTTAGGAGACTAATAAAAAGGAGCTATGCTTTGTGCTTCCGAGTTTGATGCCAAAAATCACGCTTCCAGTTCTTCTTTAGTTGTTTCCTAGTTTTTTTCTTCTTTCATACCGAAAAAAAACAACGAAAATAACTCACACACATAAATCAAATATACTCGAATATTAAGCATGTTCTCGTCTGTGATTTCTTCGAATTGTACTTACTTGAACGACTCATTTTCGGTTACTGATTTCTTTCTTCTCTCTCTCTCTCTCTCTCTCTCTCTCTCTCTCTCCCTTTTCCTTTGATATCGCAAATTCTTGATGACTATTATGGAAATCTATTTTCAGCCCTTTTCACAATATCGACGTTTATTTACTCGTAATGACTACAATGCTATTGTAAACTTATCACTTTGTGAATGAACTATGGCAAAATAAACACTAGACGGTTCTAACTTTATCAGTTTTGATTTGTTGTTGTTTCTTTTTGCAGACTTTTAGAATAAGAGAGCGAAAAATGAAGGAAAAAAAAATCAAAATCCGCTCAATCACTATTTAACAATTTCTATTGATTTCCACAAACACCGTGCAATTGAATGCATTTAAAGAAATAATTTTTGCGATTAAATTTAAATTGCTGGAATTTTTTCGGCACAACGATACCGTCCTTGCTACAACCGACAAAAAGAAACGATAATTCAAGTGAATAATCCAAATATTACATATGTATAAAAAAAATGCTACACAAAAACGAACTAACGCGCGGCTTCTGTCAATACAATGGCACAATAACAACAATGAAAAGAACTGAGATACACACATTCAATCGCGTACCAAATATATACCTCACAAACATGTAAATCGCATGTGTGCCACCACATTAATTTGAAATTTCAGCCCGTGCAACTGACAATAGCCAACGTGTGATTGATACAGTTGTCGTTTGGCGGCAGCAGCAGTCGACACACAAAGCATTCATTGCGCGAATTAATTCGAAATTTTTCTCTTCAATGCGAACCCGAATGTGTTTTTTTTTTCTGAAGAAAAATTTCAATTTTCGAATGTGAAAATGCATTAACTCACTTAGGTTGAAAATGAGAGGACAGACGATAACAATTGTTTATATGATTGATGTCTCATTTGAAAATATTCTGCCATCCACTGATTAGTCCTTAAACAAAGAAAAATTCTTGGTGCTTTTTGAAAATACCCATTTGGAATAGATCATTGTAAATGTAAATTATTTCAATTCATTAAACATTCCCAATTAAAATGTTTGGTTTGCTTCATTAGAAACTAAATCATATTCCATTAACGTACAAAATGATTCATAGCAGACGTTGAACGAATGAAAATTTAAGTACACATTGAGGTTAAATTGTCTAAATTGACACAATACAATTGTCAAAGTCTTTTGAACGGGTAAAGCACACTCGCGTAAATAACAAGAGCACGTTGTTGTTTTATTGTTGCCGCTGCATAGATAATAATTGGATTTCAGTGTATCAATTGATTCGAGTGGTTTATTGTTTCTTGGAAAAAGGTGAAAAATGAGAGAAAATACGCCGCCATCGTCGCCTTTTTTCGAACGAGATGATATGAATGAAGATCAGGATATGGATGATGATGGAGAAGACGATGAATTGATATACGTTGGTGATGGTAAGTAGTTCAAAATTGCTTTAAAATTAATTTGAATTGTGTTGTAATGCTGAATGATGGTAAAATGGATTATTTTCCAGCGGATGAAGTGTTAAATGCACTGGAAGCTGAAAGTGACGATGATGATGAGGCAGCTGGTGTGAATGAGAATATTGACGAAGAATATGTGCCAACTAGAGATGATTCTGTGCTAACATTCTCAACACATGAAGGTCCTGTATTTTGTGGTTCATTCCATCCGACACAAAATCTGGCTGTGACTGGTGGCGAGGATGACAAAGCATACGTTTGGTCAACCGAAACAGGAAATGTGGTGTTCGCCGTTGAAGGCCATAAAGATTCGATTATTGCGGCCGAATTCAGTGCCGATGGCAATTACTTGGCAACTGGTGATATGGCCGGATATATTCAAGTGTTCAAACTGTCTCAGGATTACAAAAAAGTATGGGAATTCGAAATGGGTGACATGAGCTGGTTGCAATGGCACATTGCGGCGAGTGTACTGTTTGCCGGTTCAGACACCGGCGAGACATACGTTTGGCGGATACCATCCGGTGATTGTAAAGTGCTTCAGGGAAATGGAAGCAAAACAGAAGTCGGACAACTCACTGCTGATGGTAAAAGCCTGATCGTCGGATATTCGGACGGTTGCGTTAAACTGTGGGATATCAAGTCGAGCACAGTCATTCAGAACTATGAAGAGAATACAACACTTGGACACAGTGGATCAATTACAAGCATTGCCGCTGATCCGGACAATGGCCGATTCTTGACGGGTAGTGAAGATGGCAAAATTATGATTGCAAACAGCAACGGACCATTGACCAATCTATTTCCAAGCGCCGGTTCAGTGGAGGCTCTCGCTTTTTCATCTGAGAAAAATGACGATTTAAAACTTTTGGCCTGTGGCACACTTGAAGGAAAGGTGTCATTGTGGGACGTGAATCGACAAGCAATCCGTTTTCAATGCCAAAATGACGATCCAACCGGAATAACGAAAATTGTTTGGGGACCAAATTATGCCGTTCTTTGTGCCACACTCGATGGATCCATACGCATTTTTGACGGACGAAATGGAGCTAGCAAGGTAATTTTCTTGGAAGATTGGTTTCATTTTTAGAAATGACAAAAATGATCAAAAGCAAATCGAAATAACAATTTCCGTTGTATTCACAGAATCACCTGGAAGGTCATGCAGCCGAATTGTATGACATCAAATACAAAACGTCAACAAATCAAGTGCTAACGACGTCGGAAGATAGAACGGCTAAAATTTTCAAACTAGACTCGTAAAAGCCTCCAATTAATTTCGTTTATTTTTTTTTCTTTTTCAAAAACGAATTTAATCTATGTACATAATTAAAATTTACAATAATTCCGAACTTGGTTTGTATTTCTGTGTATATATATATCCATTTATCTAAGCGACAATCGAATTTGATGAAGTGAGATAGAAGAGACAAAAAATGGGTATGCTTGCATGTGTATATAAAATGGCTCAAGACGCAAAATTCGCACGCAATGTGCCAATGGAGAAAACGGTATATGATCTTAAAATATTAACATGATATTGTGTGTGTTTGTTTTAATTAGCTGATTGAATTATACAAAGACTTAATTTAAAAACGGCTCATCCATTCCAGAGAACGAAAGAAAAAAATACGTAAAATCGAATTTTCTCTGATAATTACTCTCAGCTGCTTACATTCGAATTTCACTTCACAACCTAAAGCTATTACGTGCTATTTTAAATTTATCGACGCATTCGGCAGCAGTGCATCTTTTTTGTATGTCTGCATTTCCATGTTGTATTTTTGCTTGGAACTCTCGTATTTGTTCACGTAAATTTGTTTTGTGGCCGAATCCATGGAGCGCCATCGTTGTGCCAATTGCCGTGTGAGTTCCTGTTTCGACAACTCCGGCTGCCCTGGCTGTAACTCACTGTTCAATTCGTCCATGAGAATGGAACGTTGCTCTTGGCAAAACTGAAAGAATGGATTGGCCGGTCGCTTTGGTGCATTTGGATCTTTTTCCTGTATGTAAAAAATTGATTGGAAATGTGTTATATCCAAATGGACTAAGGATGAAAATTCAACAAAACTCACCTTATCCGATTTTGATCGTTTTCGTTTTGATAATTTCCCATCGACGAGCGGTTTTATGTCGGCATCGGTATTATTTTGAGCATTTGCTGATGAGACATTGTTCTTTTTTAAGCGTGGTTTCCGCACTTTGCCCGTCGGCGTCAGATTTGTGGGCATTTTAACTTTTGTTATTGGATCCGGTTGTGCTGTTCGCCATTCATCGCTGTACACATCCAAACGAGCCTTTAGCAAATCAACATCACGCTTCTTTCGCATTGTTATCCGCTTCACATAGTGTAACCTGCAATTCAAGCGGCAAAACATTGTATCACTCTTGTTTATGATACAAACACACACACAACAACAACGGAAATAGAAAAAAAAAACAGTCGTTCATCGCTTACCTTCGCACCAATCGTTCATTGTTTTGTGACAAATTTTCACACCGCCGTTGCAGTTTTGTGATTGCCTCTCGATATTTTGCGATTTTATTCACTTCCTTGAAATCCAAACCATTCGGATGTTCGTTGTCTGAATAGTAATCGGAGAGCGTGCTGAATTCTTGACGCCGATCCGCTTGTGTTGCTTTCATTATTCACTTATATCTATATATATTTCTGCGCCGCAATTGTTTATTGTTTAATAATTTTTACTATCTGAATTTTGCTAACCGGTTTTCGTGTGTGATTTCATTAGAAACAATTTTGGTGAAAACAAGCATTTAGTTGTGTTTTGACCTTTGTGGATTTATTGACATATCGGGAATTTTGACAGTTCTCTTGTTAGCATTTCAAACACTAACACAAGCAAAAGCGTTTAGTTTTTTATGTTTATGTGGAAAAAGTGAGGTTAGGATATAGTTTGCTCTTTATTTTTCTGTCTAAGTCAGTGCGAAAGTATAACAGTTGTTGATTTTATTACCCAAAAAAAAAGCGATTAAATCAAATAAATCAATGTATTAGCCCGGTGGCCATTTCATTTGTCTGCCTCCTAGCACATGAACATGCAGATGATATACGCTTTGACTTCCTTCCAATCCGTTATTTACAACTAATCGAAAGCCTTTAGGCGCTTGTTTTTTCCCCAAATGACCGGCAACACGCATCACATGACCTAAAAGCTGAATTGACAAGGAAATTACTTATGACAATATAATCCATGAAGAACATTCAAAATTCGCTTTAGTTTTTATTTAGCTGAAATTTTGGTTAACTTTGGTCAATATTCAAGTGAAAATCTCACATTGTCATCATTCTCGGTTACGTTTTCAACCATATCGATTCGTCGCTTTGGTATCACCAAAAAATGGACCGGAGCTTGAGGAGCAATGTCATTGAATGCCAAACATTTTTCGTCTTCATACAGCAACTTAACGGGGATTTCTTTGTTTATGATTTTATCGAATATAGTTGACTCATTTGCTCGACCGGTTGAAGCTGCTTTCTTCGCTTTTTCTATTTCATCAGATTGCAACGGCGTACTCAAATGCAAGGGACGAATATTCTTTATTAGTTGCCGATTTGACGCACTTATTTGTCGTGCAATCGGCCACAGCCTAACGAACATTTTGATTCTGATGGCAAAAAAACAAATGTTTGAAATGAAAACAAATTACGTGATGTCAAATGACTTTTTGTTATCAAATTTAGTTAAGTACTAAGTTGTATTCAGCGATGTATTCGAGCACTAAGTATATTTCTGCAATACAAATTCATATATTATTAAATGTTTATGTTTAACTTGTCTGATTTTAGTTTAAATATACCGCAATAATACAAATATGTTTGCTAAGAATCAAATTTCAATGAACAAAATATGCCATCTGGCAGATAAATGAGGAAACAGTTTGAAGATGTTTTTTTTATATCCCTTTTCAAATTCCAGAGTCTGTACAACAACATATTAATAACAAATAAATAACGAAACAACAACAAAAAATGTACAAATAACAACTCACAACCCATATGAACAGTGTTAATATGAGTTTACCTACAAATAGTGGATTAAATGAGTAGTTTAGAGCGAAAATGTAATACAGAAAAGTTGCGCGGAAAAATGTCAAATGAAAAGAGATAGCTATATAGTTCACTATAGTTTACTGTACAGTATATAGTAAGCTATCCCTTTTACGCTCATTCTTCATCGACATTTATCTGTGCAACTTTTCTGTATTACATTTTCACTCTAAACTACTCATATGTAGAAAATATATTTGAAAATTGCGTAGAAATTCATTATTCATATGAGCTCCATTACGAGTATCCCCCAGGCAGTAAGTTCACAGAGGCTGTCTTCGATCCATATGAAGGAAGATTTTTGTCATTTTTCATTTTCCCTTACCTTAGCGAACACAAACCATCTCGTTTCTATTTAAGCGATGATGGAGAAAGTTCACTTTGTCCATCTAAAACAATATTTAGTTCCGAAAAAATCATTTCTAGACCTAAAACAGGAAAACTAGAACTAACGAAAGACAAACTGCATTTAACAATTTTCACAAAAAAATAAAAGAAATCAAATTTTTCCATTTAATTTATATTTCACAGTTTAATTTCTCTTGTTTACTTCTTTGGTTCAAAAATAATAGTTTTTGTTATTTTGTTCAATTTGTATGATAAAAATGTAAATTCTAGAAAAATAATCATTAGATATAAAATCTTCATAATTCAAATGAGGTAGAAGGTATTTTTTTATATTTTTCATAATCTTAAACCCACTGATATCACGAATTCAATTCGATGCTCACTGCGCCGTTCATTGGTTGATGTGTGTTGATCTACCACGAGAAGAAAATAGGCCGAAGGTCTTGAACAACAGCGGTGGCATTACACATCGGACACTTTTGCCGGTCTTCAATCGATCTATAAATACAATCACCGCAAAATAAATGGCCACATTTCGTGGCCAATATTTCTCTGCCGCAGAATTTTTCAAAGCAAATCGAGCACTCCAGTGCGGATGCAATTTTTGGCGGATTCTTTTCGCATTCCCACAATGGTTTCGGTGATTTGACAGCGAATTTGACCTCAATGATGGCCGTATCATTACGAACGAATCTTTTCTTGGGATCCATGAATTCCGACCATTTTATTAGCTTGCCATATCCCCATGATGGTGTGCCCCAGCGAAACACATCTGATGTAGTTTTACAATCGACTGGTTCGATTTTGCTGTTGAACGAAAGTAATTTAAATGAGTATTCAACTTCCCAACACCAATTCATATCCATATCCTCTTCAATCGCCCATAAATAAACGGCAAAATGTTCATCTTCTTTTCTCGTTTGGATTCTCCATCGAATACCGCGTACAATCACTTCTGGTGAATATGTGTTGCCCAATTTACTGACATTTTCCACAACGACGCGAAGTTTCACGGACATTTGTTCTATTTCCATCATTTTGATACAATTCAATGGATTTGTCAGTATTTCCACTTCAAATGTTGCTTCGTTGTCGCGTACATATTGATTTTTTGACTCTAACAAATCATTCCACAAACAAAATTCACCAACACCATGCGATAGACACTCTTGATTGAACTCCTTCTTTGAAAATAGTCTGATAATCTCTTTTTCGGTTGATGCAAATGATAGCAGCTTAAAAACGACACGCACATTACATAACCATTTTGCAATGCCAATATCGGATGGTGGCTCACACACTAAGAAAATCCCGAGGAAATTGACGTCATCACTCATTTGTTTACACAATTTAATTTTCCAAGATAATTTGCTTAGTTTGATTTCTGGAGACAATATTTCACCTGCTTCGAGGCTATCAATGTTCACTTTAAAACGAAAAACTGTTTCCAAACAATCAAGATTCATGGAAGCCATGTCGAGCCGGCTTCATAATTCCGCACAACATATTTCGCTTTGGAACAGATACTAAACACTCCTTAAATGAAACAAAACGAATGAATGATGTCATTCCTTGCGTCTGCTGAATACAATGAAGTGCAACAACATTGGACAGGCTTTCACACACGCAAAGAATCCCTATTTTTATAACAAGAACATATGATATATAAAACATTTACAGTTGCTTTTATTAATGACTCGTGTGATTCACGCATTCCAAAAAATTCAAATGCCATTTATATAAACACATTTTCTCATAAATTGATACAGACACAAATCACCATCACTTTCCCATGTTTTGGCGGAATTCAATTGACTTTCAATTATTATTTGAATACCGAGTTTCTTAGTAGTTGCCGTGCTTTTTTGCCGACGTAAATACGATTCGTGAATATAAGAAGCTATGTCAAAATCAACTGTCATTTGCGTGTATCGATATTTAAATAAAGTACGCACTTGACGTAAAAGCTCAAATCACTTTGGTTTTCAATCATTTCCTATTATTTTTTTAAATTTCCACCGGTTTGTTCGGAATAACGAGTTCATCATGACCGTTTTTTATTTTTATTTTATTTTATTAAACACCGCCAAGCTCTGGCTGAATATAATGTGGGTTTTGTTAAAGGTTTGGCCGGAAAAGAGTGCAAGACTGTTACAATTTTTATAAATAATGAACAATAGTAACAGTAACTTTCGATAACTTTCAGTTCTCGCCTCGTTAAAAACCTGGCTCTTTTCGTAAATTATGAGGTAATCACAATAGTAGGAATATGAAAACGAAAGCAGTCATACAACCAAGATGGAAATGCTTATAGTAGTCTATAGTAAACGGTCCAGGATAACCTTTGGTAAACGTTTCCAAAGGGACAAAGGCTATGTGAAGCGTTAACTGTTACGCGTTAAATTTAAGACTTTGACTGCAAAAGTCGTCACTCAATTTATCCGATAGATAAATTGATGAGAAGTTTTACGTCGGTTAAGGCAGATTCATGTTGATTGCAGAGTGCATTGAGTTGACATGGACCATGATTTGAAACGTAACTAGATCATTTGATGCTAAATGGTAAATAATTCAGAATTGAATTGAAAGATAAGAATTTATAGATTTGTTAGGACGAAAAATATCATTACTCCTCCCATAAATAGACTTTGTTATGCACCTCATTTTTTTTCTCTACGAAAATAGGATGAAATGTGTGATAACACCGTACAACACATGTTTTCGCACAAGAGAAATTCCAATGGCGTTTGTTAGAGGACCTCAATCAGAATCATTAGAATGTCCGGAACCACGTCTAGATTTTTTTTTATCGATTTCGGTAGTTTTTCTGGGAACCTGAAAAATCAGCGGAATTTTCTTACACTCAAAACATCGTTTTTTGCACATTTCTTGGCTGGTATTTATTGAAAATGATTAAAACGATTGAAACTACAATAGTAATACATTGAATTCAACCTATCTGGTGAGAGCTATGAGGCAAAATGTCGAGAAAATAGTCTATTTTTCCAGTTTTTCGACCAAAGCTGGAGCAGTATACATTTTTTTCACTTACTGTGTTCGGCAATATTGTAGCCAGAGTATAGCTGAGCAATACTCCTGAACATATTAACTCGAAAAATCAACATCCAATCCACTTTATTGGCTCAAAATCACTTTTCGCTATAAAACGGTATTTTTGTGCATTTTCGAAGTCCTGAAACTTCTCAACTGCTTAAAATAGAGCAATAGTGTCTGAAGAAACTTTTTAGTACTCCTCAAGAAATTTTCAGGCCAAGTACTAAAAAGTACTAAAAGTGTACTAAATTGTTTTAAACACTTTGGATGGCTCCGGTCAACTCTGGGTGGTGAAAAACTCTACTAACTGGTGTTAAATACTCCGTTTTGGACCGTAGTAAACACTAGTGTTTGGTACTTATCCGGAAAATTGAAGTTTCAATCAAAAAATGACCAGCATAATCCATTAAATTGTAACATCTTCGGACCATGACCTTTTCGATTTAAATTTCAATTTTTCAACTAAGTACCGGTCACAAATGTTTACTACGGTCCAAAACGGAGTATTTAACACGAGTTAGTAGAGTTTTTCATCACCCAGAGTTGACCGGAGCCATCCAAAGTGTTTAAAACAATTTAGTACTTTTTAGTACACTTTTAGTACTTTTTAGTACTTGGCCTGAAAATTTCTTGAGGAGTACTAAAAAGTTTCTTCAGGCAGTATTGCTCTATTTTAAGCAGTTGAGAAGTTTCAGGACTTCGAAAATGCACAAAAATACCGTTTTATAGCGAAAAGTGATTTTGAGCCAATAAAGTGGATTGGATGTTGAATTTTCGAGTTAATATGTTCAGGAGTATTGCTCAGCTATACTCTGGCTACAATATTGCCGAACATAGTAAGTGAAAAAAATGTATACTGCTCGAGCTTTGGCCGAAAAACTGGGAAAATAGACTATTTTCTCGACATTTTGCCTCATAGCTCTCACCAGATAGGTTGAATTCAATGAATTATTGTAGTTTCAATCGTTTTAATCATTTTCAATAAATACCAGCCAAGAAATGTGCAAAAACGATGTTTTGAGTGTAAGAAAATTCCGCTGATTTTTCAGGTTCCCAGAAGAACTACCGAAATCGATAAACAAAAATCTAGACGTGGTTTCGAACAAACTAATGATGTAGAATTGTTTGTTTTGAGGTCCTCTAACAAACGCCATCGGAATTTCTCTTGTGCGAGAATTTGTTCTCTTGAAATTTGTCGAACGGTGTAATTGTACCGTGTTTTTCTAAAATTCAATTATAACACTCACCTTTTGACCTTTTTAAAGAAGCTCAATTGGGAAACCTTTTTTTATTCATGAAAATGAATGTCCAAAGACTACTCGAACTCTTCTTAAAATGGTGTTCTTTTCAGTTTATTTTGTTGTTTTAAATTAAACAATATATTTCCTCTTAAGCTCTATTCACATTTACAGTATTGATGCAATTTTGTTCATTTTTAAAAGATAATACGAAAAATTCGGTTCATTACGTTTAATTAAAATTAGGTAAATCATTTAAATTGTTAATCGTTTTTTGATGTTGTTTTTGTTTTAAATCTAAAAGCGAATGAAATAGGTGCTCATCGTGGCGATTGAGAGTACAAAAATTAATGCGATTGATTGTGCGGACATTGTTGCGCCGGAGAAGAATCGAGCTCCTTCCAATGAGCTAAAATATGGTGTTGTCGAGGCGATACCATTGCCAAAATCGTTCAAAATGAGACCACGATTGAGAATATCTTCAGGTGCACGTGCTCCCAAACCACCATTATTGGTGTACACATAGCTCAATGTTCCAGTTTTAGCGCGTAGAATTCGGAAATTGATGTCATTCGGTCTCAGGCGTCCGGCAACGAAATTAAATAGCCGATTGACAACCACATACAAATAGCCTTCTTCATCAAAACTCATGCCATCGACCCATTGAATGTAATTATCATCTTTGGCAATGATCAATTGATTTTCATACGTAAACGGAAGATAAGAGTCCCACTGTGCAATGGCATTATCCTTCAACAGGCCATAATAGAGAACGCCTCGATTGTCCATAATCATGCCATCGGTTTGTGATACTTTCAGTCCAACATCGGTAACTGCGGCTAAAATATCGCGTGGCGTTGCTCGGCGAGCAAATTCGGGATCACGTAGCAACGATGCCGGAATCGAATACAAATGGTAGCTAGACAATGGACTGTAGTAAACGTTTCGTTCGAAATTATTGGCTCGCAAATTCAATTGACCACGTTGTTGTTGGCTAGCGGTGGGTAATCCTTGATTTTGTGTCAAACCCGTTTCTGGATTATAGTATGGTCCCAATGCGATGCCATCAATGTGAATGGCAAAATTCAAACTCGTCCCATTGATAATAAAATCTTGAGCACTGCGAGCGGCACGCATCGAATTTACCTCCCGTATTTTCCATGATCGATTCAAACGCTTCGAATAAACGACAATACCCGGATCGGCACCACTGTTGTCCGTAATGTAGGCAAATCCACCGAATGCATCGTCGATGACAATTTTATTGAGATAATTTGAACCACGCGATGCCACTTCATCTGGGAATTCATACTGTCGAATTATCGTACCGTTCCGTTTCAAGTCAAGCAATAGCAATTTTGGCAAACAATTCGCATGTGGTCGTGAACCTTTTTTTATTTTCCATTTGTCACAACAACAAAATCATATCCCCGCCAATGACAGAATCAGAAAAAGAAAAAGAAGAAATGAAAATTATTATTGTTATGATTACAACGTCTTTTTTTCGTTTTTTTTTTTTTTTTGAAATGACAAATTTGATTATTTTCATGATAATTTTTCGGCTTGAGAAGGTGAGTCGTGAATACAATAACATGGTACGTTTAAAGCAAATTACACTCGTTTCTATATAAATATATTTTGTGGTTTGTTATTCGAATAACGTCGACGCAATAGTACAATACAAATAACATTGGACAGAGAAAAAAGAAATAAAAGAAGAATGGGCTTAGCCCATGAAATCGTTTCGGTTTGAAAAAAAAAAAACGTTTATGCGTGTTAACGAGGTAAGACGCATTCAATTTAAACTCAGCTAAGTGTCTTGTTATCGCACCTCGAATAAAAAGCAGCACGTTTTGGCAAATTAGCATGACCATGTTTTAAACTAAACTGAAAGTCAGCTCAAAATTGAATGAAATGATATGCAATGCAACATTTTCTCAAAGTTGAAAATGAATTTTAACGAATTTGAACCTAAAGGTTCTTCATAATATTGAAAATTAAAATTTAAAAACTCGAAAGAACATGTCAAGACGATTATTAAACTTACCCTGGCTGAGTGTTTCAATACGGCCGGAATCAACCACCCACATGATGCCATCCGTGTCGATTGCTATGCCTTGCACAAATTGCAGCGCTGAACAGTTTCCAATTTCGTTCATTTCCCACGATGGGAATGGCTCTATTTCTGGATCAGTTCGTCCATTGTTATTCGGTGAGACAATCCAGCCCAATGTTGCCGGAACGCCCGGCAACATACGTGGCACCGTCAAGTATAAACGATTTGCAAATGCTTTGACATCCGAAATCAAATTGTTGCGTGGAATGTAATGATTTAGATAGATGGCATTTCCACGCTCGATATCGCTACGATACGCAAATCCAACGGTTGACCATTCGTAGACAACGCGAAATTGTCGCTCCTCAGGTGTCACCTCGGGCAATGGGAATGAACTTCGCTGTGCTTGCACCACAACGGACAAAGCGAAACATAAAATCCCCAGCAAAGTTCTCATTTTATCAATGTTCCTATGGTTCTAAATCTTGTTATAATCCTTCAACTTTCTTTTTGTTTGATCTTTCTAGTTCTGAAAAGAAATGAGACAAAAAAAACTCCAGATTAACGGTCACATTTTTAATACCTAACGAAATTAAATCAACTGTTTGAAATGCATTTGAAAATTGACAAACGAAAAAAAAAATGGATGAAAACGTGCATAAAAACTGGTTAGAATGTAAATCCTATTAACTCATCAATAAATTGAATCATTTTACATTGATTTACCACTGAAATCAATTACATGACTCAAGTTGTATCACAAAAGCACGACATAAAATACATCAAGTGCAAATGAGAGAGTCACCGTAAATTGTGTTTCCTCCTTTGAGGTGACTAAACAGATTAAAATCTGCCGCATTTAACTTTTAGCACCAAATAATTTGCATATTGAAGCGAGTGTCGCGGACGCGCGCGCACATACAACCGATTGATATCATTGACAAATTTTTTTTTTAACAAATAGCTAATGGGTTGTTTATAAGCGATCAACTATGTATTTGACACAGCCGTAAACTTGTTAATTGAATTGAGGGAACCAATCTAACAATGCGATCGCGCATAATGTGAACAAACAGACAATGGAACCATTTTTTTCGAGCCTTCTCTCTCTCTCTCTCCAAAGTAAAACAAATGGCATGAAACACACTCAAATTTGTTCCCACCGTCTTCACGGTTTATTGGAAATGCGTCGCGTGTCCAGCGCTCAATGTTAAACCAACACCGTCATTACGATCATTTTGATTTGTTTTGGTACGCATTTTGTTTGTTCTACTCTTTGTCATCAACATCAATTTTTTTACGTACAAAATGCAACGGATCAGATCACGAGACCACAACAATGTGATAAATTGCTGGAAATTAGATGATTGCTGTTTGTTTGACTTTTGTGCGGAAAGAAGAAGAAAAAAATTGCAATCTTAGCTCGAGCGAACTTTTTGATTGTGATAATTAAATGAATGAATTAGTTGAAGACTTTATCGTCTACGACAGCATGGCGTTGTAAATGGAAAAATCCAAATCCAAACGTAGATCATAAGCCTGTTGAATTCATTTGAATTTTGTTTTCATTATGTTGTAGCTTCAAATGAGCTCTGTTATTGTTACCAACGACTCATTGTTGTGTACTTGCTAAAACACAGATTAAACAATACATAATTGGTTGGTCAAATCTGGCTTGTCGCAGCATATTCATTCCGTGATGGAATTACTACGTCTTTGCTGTTTTTGTCTGTTGTTATTAATTTTCGCCCGTCGCAACTTTTTTTTTTGCACGGTTAATCGAACATTTCGATCTTTCTCGTCTTTGTTTTGCAACGTCAATTGAAAAAAAAAATTGTAAATAAGATATCTCTATAGTCTTGGCCAATTCCGTAATTCGTATGGTAAGATTTATTTTATTTACAAACAACGAAAACTGATAGAGCTATATTACGGCTATGTTTTGGTTATATATACGAATGACTAATCGACCTTGACCATCGAAAAACTGAACTGCTCGGTTGCATTTACGCTATCCGTAGAATTTCGAATGATCGAGTCAGAAGATGATTTGAAATAACCGACCGTTTGGAATAATTTCACTTTTTGATAGGGACGTCCGAAATTGATATCTGATCAAAATTGTGGAAAATATTATTTCAGTGTCAATTACTGTCTCATTGACATTCAAAGTTTCTTTTCGGTCATGCTGCGAGATTATGTTTTCTTCGAAATCTGACATCATCACCAGTTCCTCTTGGGATAATTAGCCGCTTTAATTACACGCTAAATTATAAAATCCGTGCAATTGAAAGTATTTTTATTTTTGCAAAAGAATACGACGCAAAGACCGGCCATCAAATAACAGGATCATCACCGAAGATCATTTATTTTGCGGTTGTATTTTGAGCACCCTTTTCAAAGGTGATCAATCCATTTATCAAAATCACAAAAAGTGAGATTCGCTTATGTGTTCATTTCGTTGTGCGCCATTGTCACACTCATTAATTGCTACACATTTGTGTTGTGGAGTTTATTCTGGAAGATTCCTGTGCGGTAATTGTCATCCACGTTGTCAAGACAAAGAACACGTTTGTATTTCTGTTTGTTTGAGCGATAGCAGCACTAACAACCGAACCAAAAAAACAAACAAACAAACAAAAGTGTAAACCGAAAAACAAATAGAATATCATCCAAGCCGAAAACAAAAATTGTCTGAGTAATTTTCTTGTTCATTTTTACTAATGAATTCATGTAGCGTTAAGCGTCTCACGAACATCATAGTATTGAAACATCAACAATAGAATAGAGTCAAATCATTCGGATGCTCTGGCGTTCTACTGTTATGATTTCCATATATATTCTATGTGTGGCGGTAATTAATGTCAGCAGGGTCATCTGCATGCCTTATGCGCACATGATTTCTCACTTACTGTCTTTCTCTCTCTCTCTCTCTCTCTCTCTCTCTCTCTCTCTCTCTCTCTCTCTCTCTCTCTCCCACTCTCTCTCTCTCTTTCTCTCTCTGTCTCTCTCTGTCTCTCTTGCCAGATCTAAATTTGCAAGCAATCGCAAAATAACACACATAATGCTTATGACTAATTCACGTGATTTGTGTGATCTTTCGCTGACACCCGATCAGAATAAGTGCCAATGATTCGACTCCAGCCAAAGCGAACATTTAACATGGATTCAGGAGACACGTACAGAACAATAAAATGTTCTAAATGCGAGGCTGCAATTGTTTTGCAGCGAACACTTTGTCTCAATACAAAATAAAACTCTAATGTAAAAGCCTCGTCAAACTTGTGATTCATTCTAATACTGCTTTTCAAAATAAACATTGCAAAAAACCCTTTGATTTATTACAATTGTTCTGCTGTTCTATGAATTAATGACTTTTTTTTCTCCCTTTCGATGGAATACATTTTTTTACTTTGACGTAATACAACTATCGACTTCAAATCAAGATGAATATCGTCAATTGCGCGAATTATCAATTCAAATAACGGCGCTGTTTTTCCGCTCGACAAATGCCAATTGCAAATTTGTAACAATTGCAATTGACCAAATATGAATTCATATGACAATAATTGCAGAGAAGACACTTTGATCAACTCATATTCGGATAGGTTTTTTTCTGGTTGTAAGTTCAATTGCAACTCATTGAGTTCAAAATTGCTTCACTATGTTCATTTTTGCAAATTAACTATTTTGGTAAATATGTACAAATTTCTCTTTGGTAAAACACAACATATCAATTTATTTCACTTACAAAATTATCCAATATTTTCAGTTCACAAAACTAATGTTCTTTTTGTTCAATGCAACAATTCAATCTTTTTCACTTTCGATTTGAATAAAAATGTCTTTTTCTTCAACAATTTCAAATTGTTCGAAATTGTCCGAAGAGCACCAAATTTCACACAAAAAAAATCACTTCCTTTGCTTTAAAAAAAAAAAAGCCACAAATGAAAATATTTCGATGAATTCCCTTTTCGACAGTCTTGAAAACTCGACACGAAATGCAATCGATTTATACTACGAGCATCTCATAAAATCCAAAAACGAATAGATGAGCGAAAAAATAAAATCGACCGGCGGGGGTAAAGTGATCGCTAAAATTGTGTTTAGCTCCTGAACTTGTGTGTTCAACACGATCCGAGCACTGAAAATTGACTAGTGTGTCAAAAAGTGGTTACATCGAATTATATATTCAAATATACCCACCTCAAATCGCACTCTCTGTATATAGCTTGTGTGTAAAAAGTTGACGGCGACAATGTTGCTACTGCTCCGCGTCGGAGAACCGTGCCGCGATCAGGTGTTCATGCCAAACTGATTCGTCAAACAAACAAACAAATACACACAACGAAAGCAACAACAACATTAGCAGCGAACATACAATTTACGATGTCAACAAAACTACCACAGAACACTTAGCCCATATATGTAGATGCAACCATGATATATTCCGGTGGCTCGACATTTATGATGAATCGATGCGAAATCACGCAAAACACAATTCAAGTGGCTTCAGGCCATCAATATCTGAATGTTTTGGGATCAAAGAGTCGATTTATAACATAAAGATACGAAAACGACCAAATCTATCTATCGACGACTGTCGATACAATGAAAACAATTGTTTATTACAGTCAATGTGGAAGCAATTAACAAATTTGACATAGCTGAACAATTGTTGGCACGGTATGCACACGCATCTCATTCGATCGCCACTTGAGCACAGTTGATGTGAGGATGTGAGTGCGCGCGACCGATTCCAGCCTAAAACGCTTTACTCTTAACAGCAAACGCAAACATTTTGCAACCAATCACGCGACCTTAATTTTTGCCACTTTTTTTTTCTCTCGCGTGAAGCTCGTGTTTGTATGATGAATTATTAAATTTACCATTCATGATGAATTCCATCAAAGTAGAGAACACAGAATCAATTCGCAAGAATCGAATGACTTCCAAAAAGATTCTGGCACTGCGAAGATTGCGCCGTTTTTGCTACTCCTTTGTCTTTGGTCAAGTTTATTCTTTTTAAACACATAATTTTGAATGCATACAACATTTAATTAATACGACGTTGCCCGTTCGTTAGGGTTTGGATTTACGAAAATGTGACGCAATATTGTGTGACATCGTATTTTATATGCACGCAGCATTAATAAATAATTGATCGCATTCGCGCTAACGATTTTAGTCCGTACAATTTGTCGAGGAGTCGAGATAACCTCATCATCAAGACGTTGAATTCAAAATAAAATTCAACGTCGTTTACTATTTCGAATAACATTGTGGTTTGACTTACATATTGTTGCTATTGTTTCATTTTTCATCGCGCGCGGCGCACACACTTCGAATGTGTGTGTGGTACGTGTGTGCAATAAACAAGGAAGGCAAAAAAGATTTTAATTTAATGCGAATACGTTGTCAACATGCTCAATGGCTAATTACATTCGGTTTATCCCGTCGCAGGTTTCTTCTTCTGCTTTCGTCTACTATATACGCGACAATACATCGGCCACTCTTGCCATTGATCTATTATTCATAATACACTCCATTCGGTTGTGTTTTCATAAATGCACGACGGTAAAATGTGCAAATTACATACATTTAAGTAGATGTTATGCAACGATTTGCACGTTTCTTCTACAAGCTTAGATCTCGACCGTAGAAAGATAAAGGTGAAATGAAATCGAAATTTCACGAAAACGCTCGCTTCCGTCCCGTTTAACATTCATGGCAAGAACAGTAGCGCTCAAAGTGAAGCCATTGTTTTTATCATTTACACATCAACCAATCCAAGCTTTTTGCATATTGAGAGAGTCATTTATTTGTACTCAAGGGAGAAAAAAAAACAAATTTCCAAATTCGTCAGCCAGATTTTCACACGCAAAACATGACATTCAGCTCTGCTTTTTGACTCAAATGACATTTGCTTTAATGCGTGTGTACTCTGTACTTTAAGGTGGCGCAGCAAACTGAAGTGAAACGCAATTAAATATGAATTATATGCTCAATTACGTCGAACACTGCCGGTTTGAACGGAAATTGTTCTACTGACTCATTGATACGGGCATGAGCGTTCTCGTTGTATCATTCTCATTGATCCGTCCGTGCGCTGGCATACGCTGGCGCTTTTTCCATTCGGTGATCACTTTGATGGATTGATTATTTTGTTTCTATCTTTTCGCGAGCACAAAGAGAAAAGAAGCAAACGATCCGTTTGCGGTTTTTGTTCAATTTGAACAAGAGACAAAGCCTCTTATTGTGCCACACTTGTTCGGCCACCGAAATATGCGGATGGAAAGAATATATGCGCGAATCGAACGAATAGTGACATCCATGACATTTAAAGACTTTCTTAGAAGTTTGAGCTATCAAAGTTAAGGTATTTGTGTCTGGGATTCAGCTGATTAGTTCTGGATTTGGTTGTGTCAATTGTGTATATTTTTCTACTATATTCTCCTTAAACCGTTCAGTTTTCACGCAGTTTCAATAATCTCAATCGGCTTTTGTTTCATTAAATTGCGATCGAAGGCGTACGTGTTCGCCTAGTCACACCAATTGAATTGTATTCGAAATGAAGTGAATCATTAACGCTGTTGTGCTAAATGAAGTCATACACGTACGACGACAACGACGACGACGCTATTGTCCATCGGCATGCGAATGACGTGAAGTTGAAAAATTATCATTGCTTCGATTGTGTGTTACCCATTGAATCCAACTTGTTGCTCCAATTATATATTTGAAAATAGAAGGGAAAAAAAAACTGTATAGAAAATGAAAAATTGTATTATCGATCACCATCCAATTTACAATTTATTTACTTGAAACATCAACACTGGGTGAATTAGATTTAAATAGATGCAAATCATAAAATAGGCAGACATTATGTAAACAAGATCTCATCGTAACGTGTGCAATTTTGATTTAATGTGATGTGAGTTCATAAATTATTCCAATAAATGTGCGGCAGTTTCGATCAAATGCTCGATATATATATCCAGATCAATATTCACATAAAAGTGTTGCTGATGATAACGTACAGGAAATGGACGAAATAGCGAAAATTAGTTTCAATTAGTACATTCCACTATGCAAACACATTTTCTATTCGTGTAAACTCCAGAAACTAAAATGATATTTTATGGCAAGAGAAGGAAAAAAACGCCAAATTCTTAGTCATAATAATTTGTATGCGATGTGTTTTAGTATGCAAGGCGATCCGAATCACTATAGAATTATTTGTCTTTAATTGATACAGCACGATCAGTAAGATTACACACACACACACACACTCCATATGCGCGAGATCGATATGAATTGCGCGAGACGATCGCTGAGAACTGCAACCAATGGCATGGATTCGAGACAGCTCTATACAGGCTAATTATTGTTATTAATTTTTTTTTCTTTTCGTTCAATTCATTCATTCAATCGGTCCGAATATTTTTCTGTTTTATAGCATTCAATTAAAATTAATTGAAATATGCATGTATGCCATACACACAAATGCACACATCACAATCGATAGTTTTCAAAACAAATTAATATCGCTCCCGCGATATCGAACGATTGTGATTGTTCGATTTGCATTTTTAAGTGCGAGAGATCCATTATCGCATCGATATTGGTGCTGCCATAGACAGTAGTAGCTAAAAAAAAATGTTTTACGATACTTTTTGTAGCACAATGTGTGCATCGAACGCATTTTGGTGTACGCGCGCGCGCTCGTTTTCCTCCTCTCTGCACGTTCATTCTGGTGGACGGCATAATTATCCAGATCAAGAGAACTTCAGTCAGTAGTTCAGGTGATGTTTTTGATTTAGATATGTGCCAGGATTGATCTGTGTTTATGCGAATGACATGAGACTATTCTCTCGGCATGAGGTCATCATATGTTAGGCTAAGGTAATCTTTGCCTTGGAGGTGGAACAAATCATGATCACACCAGAAACAGCACATTCAATGAACGCTAGCATGCTTGACGAGCAAACGAACGAACGAACGAACGAGCGGGCGGGCGCACGTACATTCCGAAGAAATTAAATCAAATGAGCGAAATTTGGATGGATTTTAATTTTTTTGTGTTTTGGACATGATTTGGATTAGAATGAAGATGTGCTGATTTGGTTCAAATATTTTCGCTTTTAATTCGCTCTGATCAGGATGTATGATCCGCAGTTGGCATTCTTGACACACAGTGAAAACATACGAGTAGCTATTAAGATGTGTAGTAAACAATCGATGTTTACATGTCTTCACCGTGGAAAATTAGTATTCACCTTGCAAACTAGAACTTGGCTGTCGTATAACATACACATGTGCATTATTCACACATTGTTCGAAGCAACAGAAGGGCGACCGAAATACGGCCACACACACAAGACGAAACAAGATAACATGATACAAACTAATTGACAAGTTTTGTTCCAGTTTTGATAAATTTTTTGCGCTCGTCACAATTCGAAGGCATACAAACAAACAAACAGAGGGACCGGCCGCTATAAAATATATTATTATCTAGATGACCACTGTCAAACCAACAGAAAAATAAAAAAACAAAATGTTTTCTACGTGTAAAGCATTCAAACAAATAATAAAGGTGGAAAAAATAGATATCTATAAATTGTTTGCCACTAATTGTCAGCAATAAAAATGAAGCACATGCAAATTCGATTTGTGCTACGAGCTTGTACATCAATTGTTCGGAATTGAAAATAGTCACACACAAAACGATGGCGGTGATGATAATTGGGGGCTTAGTGCAAGTAAAATACAATGCGTTTTGTCGATACGAAGTTGTCGCAATGCCGAACAACGAGAAACATTTTTGTGTGCTTGAATATTTTGCGTACTACTTTTTCGGCCACTAAAACTCAATCTAACAGATTCATTTAATTAGTATTCCATGTTAATGCTAATGTTGTCTTTCTTCATTTACGCTTTCCATTTCAGGCATGTTTCGTCGTCGTCGTTGTCGTCGCTGCGGCCAGCCGAAGGAGCAAGAGATAGAGAGAGATGACACAATTTCATTGTTATTATTATATAAATGATATATTAGTCGTTTGTCACACAAAGATGCAAATATATGCAATATTATCTTGTATTTAATTGTGTGTGTCTTAGCCGAATTGTGACTCTAAAAAAACAGGCTATTGCAATAACTTTGCGGCAACAAAAAAAATTTAGTGCAAGATTTCCCAGCCTCAAATATGTGATTCATCTTTTTATCGTTTGCGTTAACACATATTTTTCTTCTAGACACATATCAGTATTTGCAATTTTGTGATCATTAACGGGCAACAGATTGGATTAGAGAGCTTTGCTCTTCGGACGTTGCCGCTCACACATACACCAAATGATATGCTCACTAAAAAGCCATTACGGTCGATGTTTTCATTTAGCTCTCTGTAATTAACTAATAAAATTCGCGGAAAATAAAATTCAAGGCAACACAATGACAATTCAATGTGTTGAAATTAAAGCAAATGTGATGTTTCGTCAACAGAATCATTTTTTTTGGCTTGTTGTTGTTATTATCTAGTTTCACTGTTGAACATGTGTTAAGCGTCTCTATTTCGAATGTTTTGTCGCCGAAGAGATAAAAATCTTTGAACCCAAACAGCATAATAACACTTTACTATTAACGCCACAATGAACGACATCAAATGTGTATACGCGCGATATTATTGAAAGTTCGAGTCGCCGTCGTCGTCTCCACGGGTTGTCAATTGTGACTCAAATACCAAATGGTAATTAATCATCAAAGTGTATTGGCTTACTCATTTTATGGCGACAAACTTGTGGTGTGTTTCTATCTGAACATCTGACAACTTCTATCTGAGCATTGATTGTCTCAACGCGCGACTTAAATTATCGATTAGGGAATTCGATACGACAAAATCGAGTTCCGAGTCAGAGAGTCGATAAAAAGTGATTGATTTTGTCTGTTTCGAGTTGATGTGTACGTCGTACAGTCCGATTGCTGTACGATTCGAAACTTTAAAAATTCGTCGTCATCACTTTGCCAATTTAATCGTGCTTATTGTTTTCGTCTAAATGGTTTCGATTATTATAATCATCCCACGGAAAGTATTTTTTTTGTTGTTGTTTCATTTACAAACCCAAAAAAGAAGAAGAAATGACAACACTGGCTTTTTTTCGATCTCTTTCTTCTACTTCTTCACTCTCGGTTCGATGTCAAAGCTATTGTCATAATAAGAATCTAAGTAAATTCGCTTCGGGTGCTGAGTTTTCAGAAAGAACCGTTTTGTATTGTAGTTGCTCGTGTACTTGAATCTAGTCGGGATTGCGTGAAAACAATCGCACGGCCGGGTCTTTGAACGCTTATATTCGTTGTCACTTACTCTTGAAATAGTGACGATTGAGCGCGAAACGGGCAAAAATGTTCGTGTATCACGCAGCTGATTGGAGGTTTAACCTTCATCCATGCATATTTTTATTGTTTTCTTTCTTTTGCCAAAAAAATAAACACACACACCAATTTTTTTTTTAAAATCGGTTACTTTTCTTACATTTCCATGTTTTCGCAGACTCGCAATATCGCCGCACACCCTTTTACACGTATTAATTGACAAAATAAATTTACTTTTGGACCACGCCGCCGCCGCTGTTTTCGTCATCGCCGAGCGCGCGCGCGCGCATTAACGTGACTTTTTTCAATAGTAAACCGCACTGGGTTCCTCGTTCCATTAATGTGGATTTGTTTTTTTTTCTTCTCTTCAATAAGTTGTTATTTTTTGTTTCGGCTGAACACAACAAATCAAAATTGTTGTTTGGATCAGCCGCCAGGCCAGTATTTGTGCTAGTTGAACAAAAAAAAAAGAAGTTGACGTGTTTGTGCAAATGTGCTGAGAGCCAAGACAAGAAGCATCAATGCAAGCAAACAATAAGCAATACAAATTCTGTTTTCAACACACAAACAAATGAGCGAAATAAATGAAGTCGTACATCGGCTTGAAAAGCTATTACCAGACATTGTCGGGTGTTATTGCATAATATTTGAGTATTTATTTATTTTCCAGTCCGTCGGTAATCTTGTGTTTGCAGCTATTTAACTTGAAGCAGGTATCAAATCGGTTGCACACACGCGCGGACACAGAGAGAGAGAGAGAGCGCACAATTTCATGCTCAAACAATGAACGTCTTTATTTTCTTTCGGCGGTCAAGATACATTTCCATTGTTCGGCCGCTTGGTTAAGCAAATGTGTGTCGGTAATTGATTATCTAAATTTGCAATTTAATTATTATTTTCAGTCAGGCAATTTTGTTCGGGCAAATGATGAAATTTAGCGACAAAATCTGTGGTTCGTATCGTGGGAACGAACAACTTGCTTCACAAGTGTGTAGATAATGGTAGATGTACAATGTTTTTTTTTTCATTCATCCGTGCAGCGTGTTCGATAATATTTTTTTTCTGTTCGAAAATAACAAAACACAAAATACGATTACTTGTTCAAATTAATTGACGTGAAATAGATTAGGTGGACGTGTATTGATGCTCGAGAATTTTCGCTCTAATTCTGTAGCAGCAAACAAATGATCCAGTGCTTTTTATCTTATATTCAAATGAAATGATTAATAATATATTTGGTTTAGCGTACCGTCAATCTCGCGTGTCATGGGAAAAGTGATTTTTTTGTAGGCCTCTTTGCACATAGACAAATCAATTGAGATCACACCGGGGCAAATGCGACGAATGCTTGTTCATGTGTGTGTGTATGTGTGTAATCGTGCCTTATTGCATACAAATCATACCTATATCAGTGACCGTGAAAACGACAAGCACGTACAAATCAAAGATAGATTCAAAGACGCTTTACCGCTTCTTTTCAACAAGAATTGAGTATTTTTTTGGTTTATTTTTCCATATTTTAAGACCAAAAAAACATCCTTTCCTGGGCATAGTACAGAAGAGAAACAAATAACATAAGTACACGACTTATTTTCGTTCATGAATCATTTCACATTTGGGCTATTCAGTCAAGACGCTGTTGATCCAATCAGCATACGATGAGACACGTGTGTATGTGGTCAAGAAATCTGGACGTGTGCAGCCTCCAGTCGCTGAAACAATGCCAACTAGAACGCCATCAATAACGAGTGGGCCTCCCTCGTCACCATTGCACACTCCACTCTGACTGCTACCAGTGCAGATTATTTGGTCGGTAACTCGGCCGTCATCTCTTGCTCGCATCATTGGATTGCATTCGTTATTTGGCAGAATTTTGACTTGAGTTGAATGCAAATTGTCGGCAAATGTGAATGGAACACCGTTTGGATTTTGCGGCTCGACAGTTGCACCCCAACCACTGACCGTGGCCAATTCACCGGTTGGTACTGGTTCATCTTGATCTGGGCGCCGAATATAGCTAATCGCTGGACCTAATGGAAACTCTTCTTCAAGCCACAAAACCGCAATGTCATAGTTGTTCGAGTTTGGCACGTGAGATGGATGCGCTATCCAGGCGTAAATCATTGAAATTTTTGACGAACGACCACCATGAAGGAATCGTGAGCCAACCATTACGGTATATTTATGTAGGGGTGATGTTGGAATTCGACATTGAGCGGCTGTCAAAGCACGGGTTGCTGATATCAAACTAGCTCCGCATATGTGATCACCACCATAACGCAAACTCAACCGATAAAATGCAACGCCGATTTTAGTTTGTTCACCACCAATGATACGTCCACTCAATGGGATAGCGCCCAAAGTAACAGCTGCAATATACAAACGATTACGTCAATTCACTGCAAATACAATTTTAACGAAAATGCATGACTTACTTACGAAACAGCTGAATAATGCTATGAATGCCTTCATTTTTCATCGATTTTGCCGAACTAAACAAGTATAAAATCGTAATCGCCTATATATACTTCCTCTAATCAGTTCTGATTAGTACGGAATCAATTTGCTCGCTTGACACTCAGCTGACATTCAAAATGCCACAATGTTTTTATCTCGTAGTGATCTGTAATGAAGAAGAAAAACACATTTACACATCAAATGCGACATGAAATTGTTTAATCACAACTTTTTCGATGCTTTCTCTTTGCTACATTTCTGGTGATTGATATAATATTTGCTAAAAGACATAAACAAGCTGTGTTTCCATCATTATTTCTTGTTAATTTTAAGGGATTTTTCATCAAGATTCACCTCAGATGTGATTCCACTATTGTCGAAAATTGTTGTGTTTACCAATTCCTAGTATTATCGCTTTTGTCTCATGGATCAAATACAATTTTCATACAATTTTTTCTCTCAACAATGTCCGTGTGATGATTTCAAAACGAAATAAAAAGAATTACATTGGTAATCCCGAACTTTTCCGTACTGTTGGCATGCGTTGTCCGTAGGTACTTTTGGTTATTTTTTATGAATTTTCTTGAAATAAAGGCAGTGAAAATATAATAATAAAAATAAAGTGAAAAATCGGTCACTTTAACTAAAACTTCGGCAATTTTGTTAGTGAGGTACCCGTAAACCGATTCTCATTAGCTTTAAACTTTCTGAGGTTTCATTTTTTGGAGATAAAATAAGATTCTGAAAGTTTCATCTTGATCGCATTTGCAGAAGTTTGGTTTTTGGCCCTCAATTTTTTCCAAGAAAATTTCCACAAAAATTGAGGACAAAAAATCAAACTTTTGCAAATACGATCAACGTGAAACTTTCAGAATCTTATTTTTTCTCCAAAAAATGAAACCTCAGAAAGTTTGAAGCCAATCAGAATCGATTAACGGGTAACTCCCATACAAAAGTGTCAATTTTTTGAGGTTTTTCTTAGGGCAAGTACCCCAGGGTCAAATCAAAAATGGCTCATCTTCGAACTAGGTTTTTCGGATACAAAACTTTTGGCATTTCCAGATTTTGATTATCTCAATTATTTTTTGAGTTATCGTGTTAACAAACAGCTACGACGCAACAGCGTCTAACACTACTAGTTATCAAAAAAACCGTCAAGAGGGTGCTAACAGTTCCCCAATGGAATGTCCATAAGAAAGCGCGCTCTCTACGGCAAATTTCGCCATTTTTCAACAAAAAGTGTGCAGTGTTATACGCTGTTGCTACGACGACAACGACAACGACGACGGCACGCGTGAATGGAAAAGTGTCTTAAAAAGTGGTTTTCTACGCGTTTCATGAGTTTTTATGATGATCTAAGCTAATTTTGCGAAAAAAGTTTTCGGGACCAATTCCCATACTTTCCCTTGACACGTTGTGTACGGAAAAGTAATTTGTTACAATCAATCGAAGAGGACGTACAGAGCAACTCTTCCAAACACAAAATAATGTTTGTCTAGGTTTTATGCAAACATTAGAATGCATTAGATGGAAAGATGAAACTTATTCGAAATGACATTTGCATAAATTAAGTTACTAAACTATTATAGTAGCAATGCTTGAGTTAAAAAAAATGTTCATAGTATCTTGCAGTGCGATAATGAAATTTCTTCAACTGTTTTGAGAACACTTTCAACCGTTTTTATGGACGAATTAGTTAACGTGGTTTCGTGTAAATCAATACGCTTAAGTGACTTGCAATTTGATACGTGATGCGCGTTCGAATTAGTCATATCGTCGTCAAACAACACAATCATCTGGACATATGGACTGAAATCCCTCAGCACGGAAATTTTGTCGTTGTACCCGAAAGATATTTTGTATTTTGGGTAGTTCTCTTCAAAATATTCGCCGGCGATCCAATTGGAAGCCTTGCATGTACGACCGAATGAAAAAACATCAGCCCTTGACAGCCAATCGAAAATTTTATCCCAGCAATGGGTGTTCAGTTTGAACAACTCTGGTTGTGATCCACCGTAAAGTTAAATTTTGAGAGTCAATGCAATTTCATTTTGGTTTGGCTCTGAGTTTTGTGGTTGACTGTTACTTTGCATGACGTTTGGCTGGCTCGGCTCATCGTGTGATTTCAATGTATGCTTTGGTGTGCGCGTTGAACAGATTCAGTCTTTTGAAAACGAAAAAAGAAAAACAAACAAGAAAAGGAATCAATTCAAAATATCTTATAACAATCCTTAATGATTCAAATCGATTCTAGGTTCAAATGGTAATTTATACCTGCAACAAGTCGAAGACAATTTTGTGTCCTAATAAATGATGCTTACGTCCGAGCTCTGAGTGCTGTTTGGTTTTACGTCCCTCGGTGTCGATGGATTTGAAGCAAATATCACGCTGGCAGTTCGACTGTTCCAAAATCTGTTGGAAAATAAACAAATGGTTGGAATAAAACTATTTTTCTGTGATCAATTTACAGCATCTAGATTCACAACAAACCACTTTAATCATAACTGATTGATTATAATAATTTTCGGGTGTTACATGATTTCTCTTTCATAGAAATTGTCTACATTCAAATAGTATTGATAAAACATATAAAAAGAGAAATATTAGTGATTGTTTCTTGAATAATTTAGAAAAAAGGAGCAAAATATGAATTTTCACGATTTCACGTGAGAACAATAAAGAAAAATCGATTTTTGGATTAGTTTTTGATGATATTGCCCAAGAAATTCGTTACAACAAATTTATTTCGATTGCCTAAATTTAGGAGCTTTTTCCAAAGCTGCACACAATCGGCATTACCGAATTTACAAGTCCAATTTAAGTACGTTGAGTACGTGGCGCAACCGAGTTTCTGTTTTTTTTTTCTCGTCGTCTTCAACTTCATATACATGTATGCATTTCACTTGTCACTTGCAAACACTCAAAGACACGAATACTCATTCAAATACAGAGAAAACGTTTGCATACCAAGACGTTATTGAGTCAAGAACTGTTGTGACATCATCAATTTATGTTTGTTCGTTCGACGTTCACATTGACAATTAAATAAATACCGTGTCGCTGTTACATTCGGACATTCCAGTATTTGCTAAACATTCGATCTTTTCACATTGTATACACACATTTTGGCTGGCATTTTTTGCTTGTTTTCTATTTTTACATTGTTAATTTCCTGTAACAAACCAAACAAACATTATGTCTTATCCGGTAAGTAAATGCGGTTAGTTGGGAATTTAGGAATTTAGGAAATATTTCAGAAAGTTTACATTTTTTAAGAATTTAAATAAGAAGCATTTTCATTAGTTTTATAATCTGGAGGCGGTATTGATGTTGACCTTCAAATTGTGTATCTCTCGGTATATGGATATTTGGTCAGAAATATTCTATACTAATTGAAAAACTATCGAAAAATATGCCGCTCATTAATTTGATCATACGACTACAAAGAAGAAAAGAGTTGACAGTGACGCATTGCAACTACTCGGAATCGCATTACAATAGGCTGTTGTTGCGCTATGTCTCATTCAATTGAATCAGTGTTCCAAGCGTTTTATTATGCGAGAAAAAAAATTGCCATTCACAGACAATATGCTAATCGTTTAATCGATGTGCTAATGCTTTGCTTTACATGTTTGCGAGTGACCATTTGAATGTTGTTAGTTCAGTAAAATAATAATGCATTGACATTTGGTTTGAACGGTGTTTTTTTGTTGTTTTGTTTTTTGTATTTCAAGGGTGGCTTTGGAGGCGGTTATCCTGGTCAAGCACCGCAAGGCGGTTATCCTGGTCAAGCACCACCACAGGGCGGTTATCCTGGTCAAGCACCGCAAGGCGGTTATCCTGGTCAAGCACCACCACAGGGCGGTTATCCCGGTCAAGCACCACAAGGCGGATATCCCGGTTACAATCCCCCTCAGCCTGGGAACTACGGAGGCTATGCTCCGCCACCGGCTTCAGGTAAACAGACAATTTTCAGAGCTTCTCCGGAGTTTAAACTCAAAAATGTTGGCATTCCGATTCGCATGACAAACTAACATGCTACACTCTGTAGACCTAATTTCTGCTACCAGGCAACGTTTCAATATCAGTTTTACAGAGAAACGCCGGCATATTTTTTTTACATTCCCTTGGGATGTTCTGGTTTTAGAAGTACTTGATTCATAAACATTTCTCTTTAAATATTCAGCAGGCATTCCAGGCATATCACCGGATGTTGAACGAATGTTCAATGCCGTCGATACGGACCGTTCTGGAAAGATAACACCAAAAGAATTACAATCAGCATTACAAAATGGGAAAGGGCAAAATTTCTCGAATCGATGCTGCTCATTGTTGGTTTGTAAGTTAAGACTTGATTCTAGTCATGTTTTTCAAATGTTTTATCAATTTTTCTAAGAAAAAAAAATGAAATTCATGGAATATTTTCCCCTTTTCAGCAATGTTTGATACGTCGAACGGCGGTTCGGTTGATATTCATCAATTTAATAAAATGTATGAATACATAAACCAATGGCTGAATATTTTTAAGACATACGACCGTAACGCATCAGGTTTAATTGATGATCAGGAATTGAATCAAGGTAAATACAGGCGATTTCTTTTCGTGACGAACCTCTTTTCCCAAGAATCAAATTGTAATTGGCGATTTGAATTTCAGCATTTTCACAAATGGGATTCAATTTTTCGCCAAACTTCACGAAGATGCTGACAAGTAAAAGCAATGACCGAAAGGAGGTGTCCGTTGATGAGTTCATCGTGTTATGTGTTACCATTCAACGTTTAACCGAAGCGTTCCGTGTACGCGACACACAACACAATGGGATGATCAGCATTGCTTTCGAAGATTTCCTCAATATCGTTCTAACTAACACAAACTAATTGCTTCCACGACAACGCAACATGCACATCGCTGCCTATCTTGCACAAAGATATTACAATATTCAAACACAAGCACACATTTTAGGTAGTTTAATTCAAATCGAAGGCCGTTTTAATTTTTTTTTATCGAGAGATGTTTCTTCATCAATCTGATTGGTTCTGTCTGAGTGCAGACACTTTTATTTTGTGCGAAATGTACCGTAAAATGGGCTAATTTTATACTTTTCTGCCTCTAAATAATGCCAATTTGCCAATTGAACGTTTTGTTCGGTTTTGAAGAAAAGTTTTTTTAATAAAAAATTAGTTCATGTGTCTGTGCACAAGGAATCTTTCAAGCTGAATAAAATCCAGTTGAATGAATAAAATTAAATTTTTAATATTGTTAAGCAAATGAGTCTATGTAATGATGTTGGTTGGTCAGATTGTTTTTTTTTTTAAATAAAGTCAAACAGTGATCAAAAGATTTGGTTCAACTGATTTCCATCGTTTTACTTACCTCATTCCGTTCTGCTCAGTTTTATGCAAATACATTAAAAACCAATTGATTTAGTTTAGTTTGAATTTCATATTTATTATTTTATGTTTTTTTGTTGTTGTTGTTCATTGATGTATATTCGTCATTATTGACAATAATGTTTGGCGCAGATTAATATAATTTTTTTTTGTTTGTTTCTTAAATTGATTTTGCTAATTCAATTGATTTATCTATTTATAATTTGATGTAATCCTTTAAATTTACATTAAAAAAAAGAGAATATCGTGAAAATGATGGCCTGTCAGCTAAATTGTTACTATCCAAAAACTTAGAGTTCATTTTGGTGTTGGTGTGTGTATATGTGTCTGTGTGTGGAGTATTCACTCGAATTTACGAACTTGGCCACCGTTTCTAATATTGGCCAATCAGAAGCCACATTTTCTTTTTTGTTCATTTATTTGTATATTTTTTTGCATTACATAGAAAAAAATCTCTGGCGAAATTCTCTATTTGAATTTGGGTGTATCTATATATTATTAAAATTGAAATTATTATTATTTAATTTTTCTTCTAAATTGCAGATAAAAATTATTGGATTTATTAATTAATTTCTATTTTTTTCAATCAATTTTTCGTCTCATTTTGTATATCATTGTATATCATCAATATGTACACACTCAATGTTTTCTTAATGGAAAGTAGTCGAGCATCTTTGCTCGACCGGGTCTCTTTTTCTACGTACAATAGTATCATCATCCGGATAATAAACTGATACCACCAGATCTGGTAATTTAAAACAGAACCAAAAAATTAAATTTAACATTTTTGTCGTTGTTGATTTAAAATTTTTCTCCGAAAAAGAGTTTTTGATTTTTTGAATTAAAATTAAAATTGTGTTGATTTATTTTCTTTTGAACGATTTCTTTTTGTAATTTTTTTTCTTTACAATGAAAATTTTTGAAAATTTTGAAGCTAGAATTTAAAAAGAACAATTTGATTTTAAAATTTTCGATGGGTTAAATTATTTCGGAACTGTGAAATTAATTCGTCAATATTAAAATATCAAGAAAATATGATCAAAAATACTTAACAAAATCGAATGTCGGATGTAACTAAGAGGATGCAAATATATCTGAGCAATATTTAGTCATGATCTACGAGTTAAGAATTATCACAACGGAAAATAGTGCGCGCATTTCATGTGCATTGTTTTATGTGTGCCATTTTTTGTTATTTTTTCTTTTTATTTTGAACATTTCGCTAAAAATTAGTTAATTTTTGTTTGTTTTTTTTTAATAAATTAATTTATCATCATCAATTTTAACGATCAATAGAGATTTGATTGGTATCATAATAATAATTGAAAAATATCGTAATTTTTTTCTTCAATACGTTGGCGTGCGATTCTTATTCATTATTTTTCTTTCATTTCTACATAAAATGTTCACAATCGATGTCATCCAACATGCATTTCGAAAATTTTTGTTCAATACATACAGAATGGTAATGCACAAAAACTAAATATCAATCTACGTACATTAATATTTTTGTTTTGTTTGAGTGAATGTTGCTCGTCTTCGACTAAAACATGATTGTTATTCGTGACATTCGGTGAAAAAAATAATACCAAACTGAATACGAGGACAAGATTATTCACACGCGCACAAAACGTGGAGTTCAAATTCGATTTAAAACTAAATGTCCCAATTTAGCACTGCCATAAGCACTAAAGCTTGCTTCGATTTTTGTTTCATTTTATCGCTTATCTATATCTATATAGTTAATTCATTGTTTCCAAAACCATTTGCAATGTTCAAAATGTCACAAATTATTTAAACTTGAAACCAAAAAAAGCTTCTAGAATATCCCATTTAAAATTACACAATTAGATTTAAAGTGGTTTTTTTTCTTCGATAAACGCTAAACAATTATTATTTTGTAAATTATTTTTTTCTTTTCAATAAGACATAATTGTGTAAACGTCTAAACGTTTCGCCATTTACATATTTTCAATTGTTGTCGATTCGTATCAAGACAGACAAATCACTGTTATATCAAAATCATATTCTAATTGGATTTGAACTAAAAAAAAAATCTAAAATATCATCGAAAAAACCCTTTCCAGTGTATTTAGTGCATCTTTGTCTATTTTTATGTTCAATTTTCGTTGGTCATTTCATCGATAGGTGCAATTTCGACTACTATTAAAAAAAAATCAGCTTTAATGCAATAATTTCGAAATATCTGGACTATTTGTGTATCAGACTAGTTAAACAAAGGAAAACAATTCTGTGTGCATATAGCAATTTATAATGTAAATTGGTTTTGTTGCTTTTAAAAGTCAAATCGAATCTGATGAGAATACGAATTTTCTTCTAAAAAAATATATGAACATTGTTCATTTGTTCTGTGTGTGTGTGACATTTAAGCTTGCTGTTTTATTTGATTTTTTAGAAAAATAAACGAAAACTAAATGGGTTAATTCTTATGTGTATTTAAATTGGTCAGAGTAAATCGTTTTCTTTGTGTTTCTCCAAGTCTTATAAAAAAAACAAAGGGAAAAAATCTTGACAAATACAATTTTGGAAACCTTTAAACAGCTTGGCTGCCTTAAAAATGATATGCACAAAAATGTTCAACGATAAAAAATAATGAATGTTTGTGTTACTTGCTTTATACACAAGCAACGGTGAGGTGACGGCTCTGATTTAATACGAACATTTTTTTAGGTAGTTGTATTGAGCTAAGAGACCGTATGTGTACTGAATTATTTCGAATTACAGTACGGTTTTAACTGAAAATCTCTTCTCTGAAAAATTACATATGAAAATATGTTCTATTGACGAGAATTGATTTACTGTGGCTGTTGTGTGTGTTGGTTGTTCGGGGAAAAATTCTGCATCGAATTGAAACAGTGTAAACCACTGCCTTAGTTTGATGTGAGAGTGATGACGTGGCATAGTGTTAGATGGTTTTCAAGCAATGCAATGTGAATAATGATTTCAAATTACAAAATAATCTGATGGGACTAATTGATCCCGATGTTTCGCTGGAAATTACCATATCAATATGGATTTTCAGTTAAAACCGTACTGTAATTCGAAATAATTCAGTACACATACGGTCTCTTAGCTCAATACAACTACCTAAAAAATGTTCATAAAAAATAATGGCAACAAAGACTTTTCCATCAAATGATAACGAGCATCATGCACGGAGCATGTGTGTCTGTTAAATTTACGAAAAATTCCTACAACTGGGCCATTAATAGTTGAGTTGTGGCTCTCAATAAACATACATTAGATGTGTGAGTGTGTGTAAATGTGCTTAAATACCTATGCTCAAGCTGACAAAGCTGATCGTTAGTGTTTAATGAATATTTACTTAAGCCTTTCCACTTTTTTTTGGTTTTATTTCAATTTAAATGTACACATCATTTTCAAATGGGTGTGGTTTTTAAAATCATTTTAACCATCGAATCATCGTGATTTTATTTTCATCATCCTGCTTCATGCTTCATTCTTTTCTTGTTTGGTTTGTTTTTTTTTTTTAATTAAATTTACTGATGTTAAGCTGATATAGTCTTCATACAGTGTTGCGATTGATATTCACACTTTCCGAAGCAAAAATCACATCAGCTTGTGTACAATGAAATTTTCTGATTTAAATTGTTAATGTATTGATCCGAAATGCCTTTTGAAATGGAAAATTCTAGAATCGAAGTTGTTTTTTTTTCGTTCGAAAATGAAGTGAAAGGTAAGAGTTTATTTTCAAATTCATTCTCGTGTCAAAATAAAATGAAGTTCGTTATTTTAAACAAACCGCCGTTCACAATTTCATCATGTGATGAAATATGAAACTTTGCTTCGCTTGACTAAATTCAGATTAAACAACCAGCAACTAAAATCAAAAGCGAAAAAGGTTTAAGCATTTGAATTAATTTTTCTGTTCAAAATAAGATTGACATCAGGAGTTACACGACGTTTGGTGTCGAAGAAGTATCGTTTCGCGAGGACATGGCAACGAAACGAAAATGTAAACGTCGGAGTGATGGATGCAGCCTAGGGGCTTTTAAGTCAAAATATACATTCATATTTGTGTGAATATTTCGTGAATATTGCATATAATCCGTGTATATGATGTATATTTTCACGAAAAATATTCACCATATTCACAGAATATACACAGCATGTAAAAAATATATGTTTACGGCAATGTCGAATCTTTGTTACCGATCGTGAATATGAGGTGTATATTTCATGAATATGGTGCATATTTTGCCAGTATTGTGAATATTTCGTATGACTGTCATCTATGGTGTATATCTCTTGGATGGAATATACATGAAAGCCCCTAGGATGCAGCTCAACCACAATGATTGCACAAAACGGTTCGGCAATCCATTATGATGACATCGTCACCAGCATTCACTCCAATACAAATTCTTAATTGATAAAATCAGTTTTTAACGCACGCTAGCCTTTTGTGGGCTAGTTTCAGTACGAGCTATAATTTTTGGCCAATTACTGACGGTGCATAGGATGTTTTCCAGTCGACATTGATTTTCCAAAATGGTTATATTCAGTAATCGGTTCGAAAACCGCCAATTTGAAGTAAGGCCGTTTAATGAGTACGCTGTTTACAACGAATCAAACAGAAGTAAGACATTTTTTGTGCATACTAATACAAGGTTGATATTCGGATTCTTCAACAGTTTTCTTTGCTTCGAGAAGTATGAATATCAATCGTAACACTGTATGAATACCATCAATTGTTACAGAATTTTCTATTCTTTTAACTGATACCGTCCTCTCCTTTTTTTTTCTTATCCAGATTTGAAAAACACCCTAGTGTAAAGCTGATATACCATATGTGATTCCAATGAAATCGTCTTTTCACAATATACTTGATCAGAACTCAAACAAAACTTTACAAAATCGAAATTAAAGTTATTATTATTCATTTTTTTTGTTCGTTTTTTTTATTCAATTTTTTTTTCTTTGTTTCTGGTTATCAATATGTTTTATTTCATTCATCTTCGAATCATTTAGTTGACTTTTAACTATGTGCTAATGCTTAATCGACGAATATCTTTTTTTTTTACTTATATTCAAAATAAACATCAACTCTTTTCGACGAAATGAATAACAAAATAAAAGTAGAAAATAGTGAACAAATGGGACTGGAGTTTTTTTTTATATCTTCTGTTCAAATGAACACGTGACAAGAACCAAGAATAGATTGACTTTTGTGAGGTGAATCTAGACCGTAAAACGAAATTTCTAAACTAACTCATTCCCGTTTGCCATTTAATTAAATAGAACAAAGAGCAAAATTTCATGTGTAACATTTTCAATGTCACTGTAACAAATTGTTACCATTCAACAACAACAATGAAAATTGTTGCAGCGAATACAATCATGTATTTATTTTCATATATATTTACAATACTCATGGGTCCACAATTAACCAACTTGATGCAATCAATATCTTTTTGTGTGTTTAAATTTAAAATGTTCAATTCGTTCATAACATTTATACTGAAAATTGGTTTGCCTTAAAACTGTAAATCTTCTAGTAGGTTAGTACCTACACTAAATGCTGCCTAAGATCTAAATTTCCTTTTAGGAGGTCGAAATATATATATATACACACACGTTGTTTTCCTTTTCATCGTTCGTGTCAATATATCGTAAATAATTAGCTTTAGTTTTGGAGAGGCGGGGATTTTTGTGGAATGTGTTTAAAGATTGTGAAAATGACTTATGAATCTGCTATGATTTTTGATCCCATCTTGAAATGTGTTTTGTGACCTGATTAGTATGCTCAAGAGGAGACAAAACAAGTAAGAGCCGTATTATCTGTCTATTGACAGAAGATTTTAGTGGTTTATCTTAGGAAGTAGGTGATTTGTATATTGATCAAAAAAAAAGAGAAAGCCCGTTCAATTGACATTTTAGTCCCATATTTTTCGTATTTTTTGTTTGTATTTCTTTTGGATGAAGAAAAATGGGCAAAGATGAAGACTCTTGCACATCAAATATAATCTGAACAAATGGCAGACAAAACAGATCAATGTGATGACAGTAGGTGTTTAATTTAGTAGAAAATTGGTCACTGATGCTATATATATCCTATTCTTTGTTTATACACTCACTCAATTACCGCACACAATTTCCCAATATTTCCTGCGTAGTCCGCACCGTCATACCGGTTGTGTAGTTCAAGTAACATAATTTAAAATAAAGCAGCTGAGTTATGATCAACTTTTTGTTGAATTTGCAGTTGTAGATTTTGTTTTCTAAAACTTGTGACTGTGGCTTTTCTGTAGCAGAGAACGGTCCAATCGAAAACCATTTGCACGAAGAAAGTGTTTCCTTTCACATGGAAACAGTATTTAAATCGATTGAAATGCAAAGAGAAGAATAGACAGAGCAATCATTCTCTATCTCAACAGATAATTTGATCAAGAAGATGTTATTGCTCTAAGCAAAGAGACTTTTCGGTCAAATTTTAAATAATTCCTGATCGATACCAAGTATTCAATTACTTAGTTTATGAATGTTTTCTTTGTTTCAAATTGTTTTTCTTGTATGGAATTTTAAACGTTTGGTAACAAACATCTAAAAATTCATACATTTGGGTTCAGTATAACCACGAAAAATCAGGCATTGCAACATTTGTCCAGAGCAAATGGTGAAAACATATTTCCTGTTCGCTTTTTCATGGATGGGGTTTTTCCATTACGAAAGTCATGATGTTTGTCGGGAAAAAAAATCGTGTCTCATGGTGATAATTTGAGTTTGAAATGGTCAGTTCTGCAAATGTAATTCTAATCCGGGCCGCCCTTTTTCTGACCATTTTGCCGTAGCGGACTAGACGACATGAGGAAAGTGTCACAACAAATTTTCGTTGTACGAACGTAACAAACAAATTGGACACAGCAAACAATATGCACATCTTCTTCAATAAATTATTATGATCCGAGGCAGAAACTTTCTCTCCGCCAATATTTTTCTTTTTCACAACTTGCATTTTCCTCGGTCCAAACTTTTTGCTCAATTCGACAGACCGGTGAAGAATGGGATAGGGAGAACGTTGGATTGGTTCATTCCATTGGTGTCTAAATAGCGTGCAAATTGTGCAACCATCGGTCTCGTGTTTTCTTCTCTTTTTTCCCCCTTCTTTCGTATGAATCGTTGGTATTTTTGCGGAAGAAGAAAATTTGTTTTGCATATATATCACTTGAATGGTTTGAAGCGAAAACGTAATACAGAAAAGTTGAGCGGAAAAATGTCAAATGAAAAGGGATAGCTATATAGTTTACTATAGTTTACTATACAGTGTACTATATAGCTATCCCTTTTCCGCTCATTCATCATCGACATTTTGCCGCTCAACTTTTCTGTATTACATTTTCGCTCCAAACCATTCACTTCTCACTGCTGTTGAAGGAATTTTGTTTCGAAGTTTCCGTACTGGTTTGCTTCGTTGCTTTTTTATTTCTTCACTGGTGCCATTCCGTTTGGTTGTTGTGCTGCTGTTGGTATTGTTGTGTGTATGTGTGTGTGGCCTGTTTAAACACAACTTCGAATGCGATCTGTTCAAATGTGTGACTGTTTTATAAGCGTGATTTATTCACTTTACTTGAGCATAGAGTCTTATATTCCAAGTCAGAAGGTCTATAGTAAAGCTATTTCGTGTATGTATATGAGCTCTGCTTTTTATTGTAACTATTTTCATGTTCGTTTCTATTTTTTTTCTCTCTCTCTCTCTTTCCTTCTCTCTCCCTGGGCTATGATTTTGAATAGGATTAGTCGGTTGCTCTCTTTGCCCTTTTCGATTTGCTAATAATACATATTTTTCGAATATGAATATGATGTATGAAACCTTAAATTTTATTTTTTTTTGTCCCATATATTTTCCCTTCTTCTTCGCTTTCTTTTCGCTTGATGTACGCTCAATTTTGTATTTATTTGTACATTGACTGTTGAACGTAGCTAGGGTGGAAATGAATCCTTACAAACAACAGCATTTATAATATGATTGATGTATACCAATAAAATATTTTTCAATTGGACAACAACAATGAGAAAATAAAGAAAAATGACACATTTTCCTTTTAAATAATTGAAAATGTCAACACTTAGAACCAAATCGATAGGTGCGAATCATTTTCTTAGGCCAATTCAGCCCGGGAAACTATGTGTTTAAATCGATGGAGTTAATTTGGCCAATTTAATATCAGAGTAATAATTTGTGTTTCTTTTCGCTTGCAATTGATTTTGTGTCTAACTTATAATCATCTTTCAAAATATCAACAAATCTTTGCAAGATAAACTTTCTATTTTAATATTTAGAACGTATATACATATATTTCATTCGTCATATCGCCTCGTTTGCATTCCTATTTAAACTTATTCCATAATTTATGGTATCAAATATTCAAACTTTTCTTTTGTTCACGAATTCTGTCTTAATTCTACCGAATCGAGGATACAATTTGATCGAAACATCAAAATAAAATGTATTTCATTTTCTTAAATTTGTTTCTTAAATTCTAAGTCGATGAAGCTGTGAGCGCATCGGTTCCAATTTCATTTTATGTTGGTTTTTGGCTTCGAAGCGACAGCAATAATTGCTATTCAATCATGTTTCGATGAATTGTCGTTTATTGAATGTAATTTGTTTGTTTGTTGTGTGTTTTTTCGTGCAGTTGTCGTTTTGTTGTATAGTTAATTTATCAATTTGATGTCGTTGCTTGTATCTGGGGTATCGATGAAAAATCGTGTGTTTTTTTTGTTTTGTTTTCGTTTCCTACATTCATACTGGCATTCTATTTGATGAATCCTCGTTTAAGATGCCGAATTGGGTGTTTATTTTACATGTTATCCGGTTGTAAGAGTCGTGTCGATGACGATGCTTCCGGTTTTAATAGGTCCATGGTTCGGATGTTTGTTAATGGGGTCGATGCTTCGGTTATGCTTACGGTATGTCGACCGCCATTTCCACTGTGTTCAGCACTCATTCGGGCTAAATCTACATTCGAGCTCACCTACACCACAAAAACAACACGCACATGTACGAAAGAAAGAAATTTGTATTCCACAAGAAAGAAACAAACAATAAGACGTATGAACAGAATTTGTTCGAGCTTTTAGCTTACCGGACTCATGGGAGTTATCACGATTTCGGTTTTAGCAGCCGATGCTCGCAGAAGTGCCGTATCTTCTTGATCGTCGATCTCTTCATCACAGTCAATGTCTTCGTCACCATAGAAATTCCACGGTGGCGTTTCAACGTCCATATCACCCAATTCACCTTCGCAATCCAAATCATTCTCTTCGATTTCCTCTTCTTCACATTCGTCCACCATCAAAACTGTTTGTTTTTTTTTCGATTAAATTAGAAGAAGAAGAAAAAACAACAACATCAAATACATTAAATTGGAATGACAGTACAGTTTTTTCGGATGCATTGTAATCGACATTAAATATGCAGTCACGTATTTTACTTTTCAAAAATAAAGTGCACATCAAGACGTTTTCTGATTTATTAATTATTTTTATCATTCGCTTCAAAAACAAATATCGGTTTTGACATTGATACAGCGGCACAATGCATCAAAACAGGCTATCATCAAAAACCAATTACACAATGTTTCTTTAATAACAATTATTAGGCAAATCAACATTGAAGGAATACACATAATCAAATGAAGGAAATGAAAAACAATTGAAGTGAAAGAAAAAAAGCCATGATTGTTTTTGATCCAATTAATAAAAAGTAGAAACATATAAAATGGAGTTTTTCAAAGAACTTAGATCAATAGATAGGAGCACACACAGAATGATGGTGCATTGAGTGTGGAGAAAACATATAAAACTTAAAAATTTAAAGAAATATCGACGCTGAAATCATTTAAATGGATAAGATTCGTAAGAGTAATAGAGAGTGAAGGGATAGAGATACAGAAAGACAAATTGACAGATAGTGTGTGTGAGAGAGGGTCACATGCAATGCATCAAAATACAGCACGAGGCAAAAACAAAACCAAAAAAAATATACATATTTATATTGCTTTCAGTTTTTTTTTTATTTAAAAGAAAGAAAAATTGACCAAATTCCACACACGAAACACCAATCCGGAACGAATAAAAAAAAATCGTTGTGCAGTTTATGTTCATTGTGTTCAACAAATTGACAAACAATTCCACCCAATCAGCCAATTTAATTAACAAATCAATTTCAAAAAGTCATTCGAGCTGTAAACATGGAAAAATTTATATGCTTGTTTATGTAATCAACCAAAACCCGTTCGAATCCAATGCAATTGAATGAAGAGATAGTAGATAGGCGGTTGAACTTTTCCAATATGCCAATGTGAAAGCTCTTCATATTCGAAAATTAGTTACATGTGTAAAAGAATAATGAAGCTTAACACATAGAATAGTCTAGATGGCAATCGATTAGATGAAGATTTAGTATGAAACTAGAAAATGAAGATGATTCGTCGACACAAACACACATAGAATATGTGTTTTCAAATGACACTGTTCCAAGAACAGCTCCAGAATGGCAGTGATATTATCGAACTGTGTTCCGACGGATGCATTTTTGAAACAGAGATTCACATTCAAATTGTGCAGTAATCCGCTTTTCTCGCAAGCGTGCCACATTGATTACGTTCAATCGTGTATGTTGTCCAATTGAACAAACATGTCAATTCATTCCAATCTAATGCGATTAAAGTAACAAAAAAATATGCTTCTCTTTTATGGCCACGGCGTTTGATCTTGAAATTCAAAAAGGAACAAACAAAAAATAAACACCAATCCGAAATTATTTAAGCGTAACACAAACGGTACCAACAATCAAATATTCACACATTGAATTTAGTACGAAATATGTCTATCTAAATGGTTTTGCAAGCGGGCGAGCGTCGAAATAAATTTAAAATTGAAAAGGTATTGGATACGGTAAATTATGTTTTCGTCGGGCTAATGTAAATAATGGTGAATAAATAAAGCCGGCCGAATCAAAGAAGTTGTGTGTATGTGTTTCTGCGTCAGGCGCAATATGCGGAGGGAGGGAGTTTAATAATTGAGGTAGCAATGGCAACGAGGCAGAAATCAACAAAAATCAATTATTTATATACGTGTTTGTTCTTGCCAGTGCATATATATACATATACTGGTTGGGTTTGATGTATGCCACACCGGGCTTGGCAAATGAACGCGAAGTGTCTGTTACACACGATCGAGACGGAGAGAGAGAGAGAGAGAGAGAGAGAGAGAGAATGAGTTCGAATTCTTAGTGCTTTGTAGTGTGCATTATCAATTCATTGGGTCAATCGAAGTTTAAGCAAATTTTATCAAATAAATGAAAGAAAAACGCGCAAACGCTCATGCTCACATCATCGTGCAGATGTTGAACGATTGAACCACATTGGTGGCGAAAAGTTATTCGGTGTAAGAGTGGGAAAACTTTCGTAAAAGTTAAGTTTTAACCACAGTTACGATACTCTAATTTGTACACTGTTCCAATAAGTAAACGATGGTGACAACTGAAAATGTCATCTTATCTATCACCACATCGAATTTATATGAATAAAACATGATGAAGTAAGTTTTGAACTTACTTTGCTAATTAATGTTGAAAAATATTTGGTGCCTGGGTAATCATATCATAAAATCACATGGCAAAGTTTTAGCTCACCATTTTGCCAAAATAGGATGATAAAAAATGCCCACAAAAATGGAACCGCGTAGAAAGGTTGTGTGCAGAATGAAAAAAGAAGATATCTTCATCGCGTTGTTTTAAGGGAGCCAAGAAAAAGTGATGCTTTAGTTTGATTGTGTGATTCCTAATCAGTGTATGTACAACGTAATGTGCGATGAGCCATGCAGCAGGCATAAACAATTTCGTCAGTGCATAAAACACATATTGTACCCCAATTATTTGGGCGACGTACGGCGTACGGCGTATATTGAATTCCGAACATGGTCAATGGCACAGAACGAAAGAGCGCGAGAGTGAGTGGTTTTGCCGAAAAACACGTAGAGACAGAAGGCAAGTGGCTCTGCCTTAAGCCAGCATACAAAATAAATAAAACAATCAATCCATTGTGTTTCATCGCTGAATATTTCGAATATATGTATAATATATATGCGTGTTCATTTTTTTCTTCTTCTTTCGTTTGAACAATAACAACAACAAAAACAACAACAATAACAACACCAATTTCTCGGTCGATGCCAAAACAAATACGCAGATCGTAAGAAAAGAGAAAACGAAAATAATAGAATAAGCGTGGCTTGTTTTACATTCCTAAATAATAAAACACATTTTTCACACTCGTGTTTTCATGCGCTGATAAAAATAATAATATGTGTGTGTATTATGGAGAGGACACATGTACGAGTGCACGCGCAGCCCCCTCCAAATCTCGAACGGAATAATAATCATAAAACCAACAAACGGCGAAGAAAACACACGCACACAGAGAGCCTAAATGTTAGATATGGGGTGGTTGGCGGAGGAGCAGAACAATCAAAGTAAGAAACGTAAAATGGACACCGAGCAATCGGGGAGGAAAAAAAGAGAAATAAACTGAAAACAGCACAACGCAATGGAAAATGAATAAATTAAATATCGAGCAAATGAACAACGGTGGGGGCTAGGGCAAAAAAAACTTTCTTTTGTTTGTTCATTGTATTCATCTTTTCAGGCTCAAGGAAAAAGAAGAGTTTTCTTCGTTTGTTTGTTTAATTGAAGTTAAAATTGGGACGCAGCACTTTGTTCACCTAAAATATGGTACACAAACAACTACGGTTGGAATAATTAGCGGATGTTATCGGTGGCATTGCCAAAGCTCTGCACTTCCGATCACCATGCGGTGTGTGTGTGTGTGTGTGTGTGTGTGTGTGACTGTGTGTATCTGTGACGACAAACAGATACAATAAAATTTACGATTATTTTATTCGGAATGTTAAAGTGCTGCGTACCAACCATCAACCATTTTCATAGTCATCTGCGTCTTTTTCACATGAGCACCGACAAGAGTACAGCGAGATAGATGAAAAGAGAGAAAGGGGAGAAACAGAGCCAAAAACGAACATGACAAAGAAATATATGTATAACCCAAAGAACTATTGAGCAAACACAAGTAAATATATCAGATAAAATATATACGTGACACTGACAGACAATCGACAACAATGTATTTTTTTCTCTTTTCAACGAAATAAAAAAAACGGTATAAGAAACACACACCCAAATCACAAATACAATAGTTTGTCTTTATTAAAAATTTATATGGAAAATTTGTTTGTATAGACTCACTGGTAATAAATTTCGAGAGACTCAAGTTTTCTCACGATATATTCAGTTTGCATATGCTATTTTGTTTTGTTTTTGTCTCTTTTTTTGCTTATGTTCGATTTGTCTTATCAGTTTTTATGAAGTGTGTGTGTGTGTGTGTGTGTGTTTGTCGTTTATGGCGGTATCACGGTTTGATTTTAGACTTGGCACACAGAATACAATACAAATATACCCCATCAGTTAATCTCGAAGCAGGCCCACCGAAGAAAAAAAAACACGAATCGATTGGAAAATCAAATGATGGTGGTGCGTTTGGTTGTACCACAACATCAACCAATTGACATTTCATTTTATTCTCATCTCAAATCGCAACAATCAGTATCACGCCCTCTTCACTGTGTGTGTTTTCTATTTCTTTTTCTTCTCATTTTCTTTTTTTTGTTTTTGTTTTTTTTTGTGGTTTTGGTTTGTTGCACCTTTCCACACCGAATATGTTCATTTTGTTTTTGATTTTGATTGCAATGTGCACGATTTGAATGTGTTTGCGTGCTCTGTTAAGCCTTTGTTACACTCGCAAATAGTCTGTGCGTGTTTGACATATCAAACGATCCAACTGGATGATCGCCATCGCACACTATCTTCTCACATATCTTTGTTTCGTATTATCTCATATGAAAATTTTCTGGGACCAACCGTGTTTAGGTCGTTCGTCCCTATCTATGAATGCTTGAAACACATAATGGTCTCAATTTCAATTGTGATTTTGCCTTCTTCTTTTTTTAGTCAAACCAATTTATTGGAGGGATTGATTTTATACGGCATATTTGAAATTCTGCGGTGAGCATTTCAACATCATCATCGCTCATTTTGTTGGGTTTGGTCATTTTGAACGGTAGTGAAATTGAGCATTGGGTATACGTGCGCATTCACGTCACCCCATTTCCGTATTTTCGAACAAATTTAAATCATTGACGAAACATATCGATCGTTAATGATTTGAAATAGGTTTTGATTATCATCCCATAGCACGAGATCATTTTGTTGGATCGATTGATAGTCACATTGATGCTATAGCGATGTCGATGATGAATAACCGTCGTAAGACGCGGCTGTAGAAAACAAAATGAATAGCGGAACAAAAAGGGAAAGAAAAAAGAGAGAAAGACAAAATGTTTATTAAAAAAATTAGTTTTTTTTTTGTTTTGGTTTTTTTTTGCAGGTGGTCAATTTTGTGTGTTGGTTAATTTTAGTCACTTTAAAGGCACATTTAAAGTAGATAGTATATATAGATCGTTGAAAAATTGCTTTTTTTCCACAAAAATAAAAGAAAAAGCTAATTAGTTGCATGTTGCTAGCATTTCCATGGTCATTAGCTCTGTTCGCAAAAAAAAAAATCGCGTACCCAAACTCTAAACAATTTATCGCAAAATGTTTGCATACATTCGGTGAATAGTTTTGGTTTATGGTAAAAAGAAAGGGGTGTATTTACTTGAGCTTTCGGTTATTGTCTTTGGACTGTTCGGTTCCATCATGTCAGCTTCTTCGGGATCGATGCAAACCGAGTGTTCGTGCGGTAAACGACTAACCAATATTGATTCCGTTTTATCATCACTACCGATGGCTGGCACAACAATCACAACGTCACCGCTACCATCAGCATGAATGGAATTATTGTCAACGTATTGAGATGGAATCGAACTATTGGAGCAGGAGAAAAGAGAAAGAGATGCCAACCATAGATAAAGTGCGTTTTAAGTTTTGTTTTTTTTTTGTTTTCAGTCAAAAAGTCATTTCAACGTTTATCTATCCCCTTTCATTTGTTATATATCTTCGATGTTAGTTTTTGATACGAATCACCCAATAGTTTTATTCATTTTGAATCCATGTAAAATATGTTGCTGAAACCAAAACCGATAAGGTGCTTACCTCAAGGTGACTCGCTTTTTGATGCGATTACCTAAATCCGAATACCCTCGTTGCATTGGCGGTCTTCTTTGTGACTGATGACGATGTTGCTGTTGTTGTTGCGATTGTGAATGCTGTTCGGCATACGATTCTTGTGCTTTCGACTGTTGTTGCAGCTGCTGCTGTTGCATTTCCTGTTCGATTGATGGATCGAATGACTTTGTTATCGGTGAATTCGGTTCCGAGAATTGTTTTTCTACTAGAATAGGTTTCGGCTGGACGAACAAAATAAATATGTGAGTTTGAAAAAAAAGGTTCCAATTTCGAAAAGGTAGAGCAAACGGATAAACGATTCGATTTGCTTACACTTACCACTGAAGTGGACGATGTTAGTATGCCTGCAACACCAGGGGCAGGCGGTGGCGGCGGCGCTGGCGGATTGTTCTTATAATTAGTGGAATGTGAATTATTTTCAGGAACTAGTGGAAGAGCTAAAAGTCGTTCACGGTCTTGCATATACGCTTTTATCAGTATATCGAGTTTCTCCTCTATATCGGCAACCTAATGAGATGGAATATGCATTTAGATTTTCTTCAACGTAAATTTGTCCAGTTTTCAACTTTTCCAACGAGATAACCATCATGAGGTAGTATCGAATGTACATACCGATCGTTCAACCTTCACAACACGTGATGCCAAACTGATTTTCGACGCATACACATCTTTTGCCTTGGATCCTTGCTTTCCAAGTATTTGATCTAGCCTGCTCATTGGAACATTATTTAAAAATGAGCATTAAAAAAAGTGAAAGAGAAAATTAGTCAAATTCGGCTGTCGTCGTCGTCCTCGTCATAAATGGAAAATTTCACTCGAAAAAATAAAATTAAATACAAAAAAAAAAAAATAATTCATTAAAAGAGAAAACGGAATAAGATTGAAAATTGAAACGTACACAAATGAATGGTTACAAAACGGTTGAGATTCAAATCAATTTAAATTACATGCAAAAAATTACGATACATCGAAATCAGGCCAATTTATTAGGTGAAAACACATCGAAGTGATTTTTCTGAACGAACAATTTAAACAGTGACACACATACCAATCCATATATCACACACATTCCATACTCACGTGCTTGTTCTTACAAAATGTCAAATTTTACAAATCACACAATTTTCTACTGTTAGTTTAGGTATCTAGATAGGTGTATGTGTGTGACAATATTCTTAGTTCGCATTTAATCTTTTGCACAGAGATTGTATATTTGCTGCTGAGTAGGCCTGAGCTGAGCTGAATTTGCTAACTCAGGCGCCTGAAGCGTTATTTCAACGCATTCACCCTCTGGAGGGCAATATGAATTGTGTACTGTGAATGCGTTAAAATAACGCTTCAGGCGCCTGAGTTAGCAAATTCAGCTCAGCTCAGG